GCGTTTAATTTTTGAGAAACAAGGCTTAAGTTTCTTGGAAGTAGAACTTATATTCTAATTCGTGTTTGCTAATTTATTACTGTTTACGTCTGCGTTAGGCTAAGTTAACCAAAACTTTCTGACATTTTTTTCCAAAATGTCGCATGAAAATCCTGCATGATCCTCGGAGATCGTGTCAACGCACGGCTCAGCTTATATCTGAGCAATTTCCTTGGTTGACAAACCCAAAGAAAGAAACAAAGCTAAATGAAAAGCATTCTTTAGCTCTGGTAGTGTTTCTATGGCGCTCTCTCATCTTTATAAATGTTTAATTACATCCTTTAAGGTGTTTTTGTTTTGCTCAACGGCGGCGATATCACAAATGACTTTGTTTGAGAAAAAAATAGAGAACATGAATATTTCTCTCGTAACAAGTTTGTTTCCTTAGGTGAATCACTTACCACGAACGACGTTTTCCCTATGCACAACTGGCTTTTATGCCTTCAAAAAAATTATTGAGCGTTCGAGTATATATAAAGTTTTGGAGCTATGCCCAAGGGATTTATTTTCTCACACCAAGAAAAGACTAGTTGGTGTGAACAAAAACATTGCATTTAATAAAATAATATATACATTTTTATGTAACTTTGAGAAAACACCGTTGCTACTCCATTTTGCAATTGCTTGCTGAACTAAGCACATAAACTATTAATACATTAAAACACATTTCAGAAGTTGGCTTAACTTATTTCAATTTGTTTTACAACCACTGCTATTTTATTCAGCTGAATTAAACTCAGCATCTGAAACCAAGTCATGTTACGTTTAAACCACAGCTTAGCACTTCATTACACCGAGTTTTTCTGCTGTTGCAAAAATAACCATAACTCTTGAATCAACATCATATTAATATTAGAGCTAGATGAGCTCGATGAAGCTTCATTATCATGAATGATATTGTGACATGACAAATATTACAATAATTTGACATTATTGGAGTTGCTGAGAGCATCTGAAACAACAAGACAAAATCTGCTTTGTTGCAAAACATTAGTGAGTTATTGCAGATTTGAGGCAAGATGTCAACCCTGTTTTACTGTAATGACTTCTAACAAATTCTTGACTTGGATCAAAACTTCATGATCCAAGTCAAATTTTGAAGATTTGTATGGAAACATCAGAGTGTGCTAATGAGTCATCCATGCAAATACTTCAAAAATGCTGATTCTTGGCAAGGAAGCACTTTTTGTTTTGCTCTTTCTGAATACCTCAATAGATCCCATAATTTCTCAAAATGAGCTTCTGCGATGTGATCACTTTTAAAATCCATACCAAGCTCATAAGCTTTGAAGTGAGCTGAGACAGAGTAAGTGTAGTACACTGTGATACTTTCAGTGGATGTACAGTAGCTGCCCATTGCCTAAAGTGTAGTGACAGTTACCCTGAGAGCAGAGGCTACGTTTTTGCCGTCTGAGCTGGCGTGTGGAACGGGCATGCAAAAAGTAATTTCGCATGCCAGCTCATACTGCGAAAATGTAGCCTCTGCTTGCAGGGTAAGTGACAATATTCCTGTTAGTTTACGATAATAATTTATGGGGCATCTTTCCACTCTCCTACTCAACTCTTTTAATTTTGACTGTTGCAGCGCACTGCTGAGGATTTACTTAATATGACAGGTAAGTAATCTTTTTTTTTAACAATTAATATTGTGGTCCTTTCTTCACAGACTTACATGTAGGGTCCTCTTGAATTAATCTGAAGACAACATCGTACTCAGTATAAGGTCCATCTAGTTAGCTCTCTCGGACAGACAGAGCCATTCTAGGGTTCATCTGTCATCCTGTGTACAAAGCAGATGTCTGCCTCATAAGTCAAGTCTGCCTTTTACAAGGTGTGTAAGTGTAAGCAGGGTTGTTGCTCCAGGACAGTGGCTCAGGATTTCCTGCAGCTACTATGAAGATGTTCCCTGGCTACTGACATAGGAAACTAAAGGAAATTTGAGCCAAAAGAACAAGGTGGATATTATGGACTTAATTCTTTAATTGAGTTGTAAATCAATTAGCCTCAGGACAACGCTGTGCATGTTTTTATCGACAAGTTCATTTTAATACAGCTGTGGTGTTGAAGTCTCCAGGGTTCAACTCATTGGTGTTACAAAAACAAATCAAATCAAATCGTTGATAATGTAATAATATTGGTCCACGGAGTGGTTTTAAAGGGCTACCACATATTTTATAATAATGTAGTTAGTGTTAAACATGTCCTGTTATTTAATCTGACTTTTTTCTTTCAGGACTAATGGGTGATCAAAAAAAGGTAAATCCAGATTTTATTTTATGTTACGCATAAAAATGCTGATATTGTTTTTGTGTTTCATGTGATAATTACATGTATAAGAAGATTGCAAAAAGGCATTTATTTTCGTTAACTTTACTTTTTAGGCAAGATTTGACCAAACTCCTTCTAAAGTGATTCATGTGAGAAATGTACCTATAGACGCTGTAGATACAGAGGTATGTGTTGAAAGACAAGAGTGTTGTTTTCTGCATCACTATAAATTAATAGCTGTAGCCTTTTTCTGTAGAGCTAAAAGATGTCTAGAAGGAAGGCCTGTGATTTATGAGCTGTCTACTGCAATACAAGTGCATATGCCTCTGTGTACGTTTGTACAAGTGTTGGTNTAACTTTACTTTTTAGGCAAGATTTGACCAAACTCCTTCTAAAGTGATTCATGTGAGAAATGTACCTATAGACGCTGTAGATACAGAGGTATGTGTTGAAAGACAAGAGTGTTGTTTTCTGCATCACTATAAATTAATAGCTGTAGCCTTTTTCTGTAGAGCTAAAAGATGTCTAGAAGGAAGGCCTGTGATTTATGAGCTGTCTACTGCAATACAAGTGCATATGCCTCTGTGTACGTTTGTACAAGTGTTGGTTCATTAAGGAGACCTTGTAAACGTAAGGGTAAAATTCTGATAAGCGATATGGCCTTGAAATGGCGACATAGGACAAATGAAATGGCAACAACAAATGATTCAGAGATGGCTTGAAACTGTGACAGCGACAAAAAGATGTGCAACACCAAAAGCCCTGATTAACAGACATTAGCTCTTATTCAGACAAGGTTAAGTAAAAGATTTAGATAGTTTACAATCTGCCACTATGCAGGGACCAAATTTCTTATGGGCAGAGCTGTTTCTATAGCAAAAGAACTTTTTTCTGTGCATGAGCAGACCTTGGGCCATACAGTCTGTACATGTACAAAACCTTGGAAAAAAAATTGATGGTACATTGTACAGTAAATATTGATCAACTCTGTTTTGCCATTACAGTTAGTCGCCTTGGCTCTACCCTTTGGACAGGTTAAAAATGTTCTCTTGTTGAAGTCCAAGAAGCTCAATGAAGCAACCCAAGTAAGTGTAACTTGAAACTTCAAAACTTAAAAGCTACAGAGAGTAGTTATTGGTTTATGCAACAGGCATTGTCTTGAAGGAGCATCAGGGATGATTCTTCGGTGTACTTTAGCATCCAGCCTTAATAACATTTATCCAATGTTTAAGTTTCCTAGATAAGTTTTTTTTCTCACTTACCATTTTTGCAAACTCAGTGTGCAAAGAAAAGCGTGTCCAATATCTTGGCCATGGGGCCAGTGTATTTTGCTATCAGGCTAATAAATTCTATTGGTAGCTTGCCCCACAGGCAAGTGAAGTTATTTGGGAAATTCAAATTACTGTGATTAATCCTGCTCGTCAAAAAAATTTTCGGGCTAGTACAGCCACCTGACCCTCATTATAAATTATTATGAACACCTTCTTAGTATAGGTGTTGTATAACCACAATTTCATGGCCCAGTAATGGTCACATTGATGGTACTCCTGGCTGTAGATGTTGCAATGTGGGTGGTTAGTTCGAGGCCAGCATGGAAATTTGGTTTCTTTTTGTCTTGCTCTCTTAAAGGGTTTCATTGAAATGGAGGATATACAAGCTTCAATGGCTGTTCTTAAATATTATACACAAGTTGCTCCCTGCATAAGGTAAGCTAGAGGCTATGGATGCCTAAACTAAACCAGGTTTATTATTGTAGTTAAAGTTACATGTATGTTGAAATCTAGAAGCTCTGAAATGCAGTTTTCAAGCAATCTGGACATCAATGGAGAGTGATTTTTGACAATACTACTGTACTTGCAACACATTTATGCATGTACTATGTAAGGGGTTATTGACAAAACCCATGATATAATTGTATGATGAATTTAAGTAGAATGCTATTGTGATGTTTTATTTTCTTTGTATTATGTTTTAGGGGACAAGTAGTCTACTTACAGTTTTCCAATCACACAGAGTTAAAGACAGAACCCTCGCAACATTCTGCAGGGGTAAGAATTTACACCTCTTCACTGTTCATTGTTGACATTTGCTACATGTATGTGTCACTTGTGTGTTTCTCAATTCATACAGCCAATTCTCTCTAAGAGGGACACTATATTAAGACCAGCCCTGACAGTCCATCTTAAAGAGGTGTCCAGCTTATGGAGGGTTTAGGAAATGTGACACCAGTAATAATTTTTTATAATAAAATAAAGCTGAGTCCAATCGCCGTAAGGCAGTAAACTTGGAATATGAAACAGGAAATAAGAATCATGTTGAATTCTCATTTTGCATTCAAACGTTCATTACAAGCAAACATTTCTGGCTTTGTGGTCTTAAAACATAACAGAACTTGTATACATTCTGCAAACTGGAACAAGACCACCAAATGATAAAAAAATTGCAACCAACTGTCATTTAGACCACCTACATTTTCATTTTGAGGTATCTTGTAATACATAAAGCTCTTCTCAGGTGTCTGTTGAGGGTTTCAAAAGTGACTCTTGGCCATCTTATCAAAGTGCCTGTTAAGAGGGAGTTGATTGTACTGTTCTTTTTAAACTTTGAAGCTTTCTTCACTTTAGGCATCTAAGATCATTGCTGCAGCTCAAGGAGACTTCAGCTCATCTCCATATTCAGCGGATGGACAGCAGGCTGCCGCTGCAGTTGCTGCTGCTGTGGCCAAAGGTGGGGCAAGGAGTAATGTTATCAGAGCAGTGATTGACAAGCTATGGTACCCAATTACAGTTGAAGTCCTTTACAAGGTATGTCTGAAATTGTTATTGTTACAAGAGCTGTGACAATGAGTTTTTGTGATGGCCCATCATATAGAATTAACTTGTAGCAGTATTCAGAAGAATTTTAGTGTACAATGTAGTTTTAATGTGATGCTATTGTACTCTGACAAACCACACTAAGGTTTACAGGGTTGGAAGGTAGGTAATGGCAAACACATAACACAGCTCCCTGCCTGAAGGGTCTCATGAGTTATATCCAGACCTCAGTGGTTAATAAAAAAGAAATTTCTTTTCTTGTGTGTTTACAGTTTTTCCCCATTATGTGAGACAAGTTGTTGCTCTGGCTGGAAGGTTATCATAGCACACATTATGTCAATGTGATCTTGCTTTTTTTTCTTCCTTGACAGATTTTCTCCAGTCTTGGGACAGTCCTCAGAATCGTCACCTTCACCAAAAATAGTAAGTGTTCTGGAAAAGTTCTGTGCACTAAATTTTGTTTCTATTGAGGTGAAACTACACTGACACCCTATAGTCACACAACATGATTTTCTGTTACAAATTCAACAGTATGGACTGTTAGTGAAAGAACTAATGAAAGGTTTGTGTTGACTTTCAGGTCAGTTCCAAGCCCTTATAGAATTCAACAGTGTAACTGAAGCAGAGATTGCAAAATTGGTACAAAGAATGTTGTTATTATGGCTTCCTTGTTTGACTCATTTTGAAGATAAATGTATGACTGTATAAGTACTGCACTGTAACAGCATTTCTTTTCACTTTCCTCAGACACTAGATGGACAAAACATTTACAATAGTTGCTGTACCTTGCATCTTGAATACTCCAAGTTAACCACATTAACTGTGAAATTCAACAATGATAAGAGCAAGTGAGTGTACATTATTTTGTTTGTCTCTAATCCTAATCCATTTGTCCCTGGAGATTTTGAAACCCTTGTGATGTCATTAAAGCCATTTTGTGGTCACGGTCTGGCCATTAAAAAATCAAACAATAAAATGTAGTTCACAAGTAAATTTTTTTTTTTTTTACATGTAAGTTACAGCTGTAACTCAAATTTAAATGAAACAAAAGAAAAATTGGGGAGTTCAACGGGATTCGAACCCATGGCCTTTGCGCTAACTCAGTTACAATCCATTTTAATCTTCTTCAGTTTTGCCTATTGATGATACCATCAGAAAAAGAAAACAACGCTATTTTTTTCGAAACCTGCCGAGTTTTTAGTGAAAACAAAACTTGACTGACGTGCCGTACATGTCGTACATCGCATGTCCTTGTAAACATTTCATGCAGCGCAGCGAATCATTCTAAGTTTTAATTCATTCGGGAAACAAAAAGCCTCGGAAAAATTTCAGAGCAGGTTTAAATGATTAAACTGCACAAATATTTATCTACAAAGTGAAACCGAACCGACACTAATTTTGTAGTTGTAAGAGAAACGATCATTTTTTATATTTCCCCCTAGGCCTAAATATTACCGATCGCTTCCTCTGCAAGCTGTTTTATAATTTCAAAAAAGTATGCCTCATGACACTTCAAACTTTTATATAGCAGGTTCGTAAAGCCACAGGAGTCTGAGTACTGACTCTTCTCCGAACATTTCATGAACATTTATGCTTGCATGTGATAGCACCTTAGTTTCGAGAAAATAATCCTTTCAACAGGAAGGGACCAACAAACTGTCAAATGTTGGAAAAAAAGGAATCTATTCCTATGCAAAATACGCATAATTTGCTCGTTGGCACTCTATCGATAGTTATACCTAGTCTTATTTCCAGCGTGTTGCGTTATTTGACCCCGATGCGTTTAGGCTTGTGACAAGGTTCATTGCGTATGCAAATTTTTTTCGTGGAACTTCACAACAACAGATGAAACACCTGTATAGTTTCAAGAAAATAATCCTTTCAACAGGAAGGGACCAAGAAACTGTCAAATGTTGGAAAAAAGGAATCTATTCCTATGCAAAATACGCATGATTTGCTCGTTGGCAGTCTATCGATTTTTATACCTAGTCTTATTTCCAGCGTGTTGCGTTATTTGACCCCGATGCGTTTCGGCTTGTGACAAGGTTCATTGCGTATGCAAATTTTTTTCGTGGAACTTCACAAGATGAAACATGTGAAGTTCATTTTCAAGGAGATTATTAATTAAACCTGGAGTGTTTATTCGCGATATAACAGCTACGGTTTCATGACAGTATTATAAAGAGTTAGTTACACCTATTGTATGCATGTTTCGGAAAGATTTTTGAGATATCATCGTTATGAAAAAAAAGAAATGACCGAAATAAGCGAAACCCCCGAAACGATTTCGCTTGATTTGCTCTTCGTTTTGGTTTTGGTTTTGGTTTTGGTCGTTTTGGTGCTTTCGCTCGTTTCGTTCCAATGGTTTCGTTTTGTTGTTTCGGGTTTTAGCTGAGGGCAAACGAGAAGCGAACAAATGAATAAAGTTCATCAGATACGGCTTTTCAGACGGTATTCCGGTTACATTTTACTAAGATACTTCAAGTTATTATGCTCCATGTTTACTATCCGTTTAGCGTTCTATAAGTAACTGTTTTTCCTGGAACGATCTTGCCGACTCATCCGTTTTCAAACGTTTCCAGCTGTCCGTTTGTGGACTTAGGTCAACCGTTTAACGGTTTAAGCTATCCGTTTTGGGATTTTGGTCAACCGTTTAACGTTTCGAGCTAACCGTTTATATTTTTGGTCAACCGTTTAACGCTTCAAGCTATCCGTTTTTGGACTTTGGGCAACCGTTTAAATTTTTGCTATCCGTTTAAAGAGTTATAGAAACCGTTTAAACGCTTGAGTTAACCGTTTACTATCCGTTTAGAACCGTTTTTCTTGACCGTTTAACGGAAAAGCGTTAGTGTCCGTTTTCCCAAAGAGGGTCACATCTTTCTTTTATAGAGATTACACACGACCTGATCTACCATCTGGTCCAAATGAAAGTCCTTTTGCTGGAGCTGACATTGCTGGATTAGCAGCCCTTGGTAAGCAGATGCTTTTTTTTTCGGTTGTTTGCAAAAATGTACATGCCAGTACATACATCGTATTTTTAAGATTACATTATTAAACTTTTATTGTCATTAGTTTCTGTTCTTCAGCTATTGTAGTTACATGTGTTGTGTGTACAATGTTTATTGTGATGGTGACTATTAGGCATGGTAAATATACAGTATCACACAAAATTAAGTGACCAGTATTGCTTTGTTTCTTGTGAAACTACAATCTCGTTGCAAGTGAATAAACAAATGTTTTGGAATTAAGTTTAAGTTCAAGTAAAAATCTGCATAAGAACCTGAGACAGCATTTCAGATCATAGGTGAAATAATGCTCTTGCCTTGCCATTGTGGTTGACTGCAAAACAGCCCATATTTTTTCCTACATGTAGGTTTTGCATGCATGGGCTGTCAAAGGAAAGGTCAGGAGTGAGGGTGAAAACAGACAGTGAGACTCAGGAGAGACCCAAAAAATTAGAATTGTCTGGGTTTCTCTAGTCAAACATTTGCCATGCATATCCAGGACTGTACTTTGCGCCTTGCAAAACTGATTTTGAGGAAGAAAAAAAAAACAGCTGTTTTGCAGTCTGCTGTTGTAGCCAAACTTGAAATAGCTGGAACTATTATTTATTCTTCTCCATTGGCAAACAAGTTATTAAACCACTTTGAAGTCAGCAACTTATCTTTTTCCATCTTTTGTTTGTCAGCTGGTGGTGGTGCAGCTGGAGCAAGTCTGATGGGAGCCCCAGCTCTGTTGGGTCTTCTTCCTCAAGGAGGATTAATTCAAGCAAGTAAGGAAGTAGGGAGTCACCATAATAAAAAAAGGGGTTGACTGAAATATTCCCCACAAGAAAATTTCTATTTGATCAGTGATGTACATGTAGTGGACAATAATAGAACCAACATGGAGATGTTGTACCAGAGTTGAGATCAGTATGCACACCATGCGAGTAGAGCCTTTCTTTTCCTTGCTCAGTTTTGGTTTACTCAAGAAAGACTCTGCATGGATCCAGTAAGACCTTTTCTGAGCATGTGCTTAATGTTACTCAGATACAGTTCTGAACCTAGGCCTAATAGCTGTTGCTTGTTTCAGCGGGCTCAGTTGTGAACATCAGTTTATCAGTGAACTGATGCTCACACTCGAAAAACCAGTTTAATGAGGGAAAAACAAGAATGACTAGTCAAGAAGTTCATGCTGCTTGTAGTTGTAGCAGTCTGAGAAAGATGGGGCCTTTCTGTAGATACTGTCATCACAAAAGAATCAGAGGAACTGAACAATAGAGTTCTCCTGGGGGATTTATTTTTTAGTTGTATTGTTTCTTTTGTTGTATGCAATCTGTACCTTGGTATATATCTACAGTGTACAGAAGGAACCGAAAGATGGCTACATTTTATCCTGGATGTCCTGTACACTGTAGAGGCCCTGTTAGGATAAAATTCAGAGGCTACTGTACATGTATAATATGGCCTAGAAACCATACTAAAACAGTGCCATAAGTCAGCTGAAGAGTGGACAAACGACATAAAGATTGGTTAAATACTGACAGGAACATAATCTACTCTTCAGAATGCAAAATGACCTTATTTCCCTAAGAGAGCCTCAGTATAAACTTTCACTCAGTCAAAATGTGTCTTTACAGATTTACTTGCAGCAGCTGCTGGTAGTCGCAGTGGAGGCAGCCCTGTTGTGCTCGTCAGTAATTTAAATGAAGAGGTGAGAGTGGTTGGAATTTTTAAAGTGCAGTGTTGAGCCCAGTTGCACTGTTAAATATAATATACATGTCTTTACTTTATATTGTATGACAAAATGGGGTTGAAGAAAGTTTGGCTTTTTATTGTTCAAACCATGAAATGTTTTTGAGTGACTTTTGGAATCGTAATCCTTTACTTCACGATAATTTTCTAAAGTTGCAGCAAAAACCTTTTTTTGCAGATGCTGCAAAATTTGCATGTAATGTGTTGGTAGGTTACCGGTACCTTAAGCAAAACTTAAATATTCCTTTTTTCTATTTTTGTTCTTCTGGAATTTCACCAAAATAATAACATGTTGCAATTTGACCAATAATAAATAAATTCGAATATTTGAAATTTCAACCACCTCATTCAACAAATTTTTACGGTTTTTTTTTTAGCAAATTTTCAATTAAAACATCATCCTTGGCAGGCAAACTAACTGCTCCATTCATTGTTCCTGCCAAAATTTCAAATTACATGTAGCTTTTTTTATCACTATTTTTGGATGTAGTTAAAATGAGTATTTTGCCTGTATGATGTGCATCTAATTCACTCTAATTCTCATACAGTACTTCCAACAAAAAAATTCATCTAAAGCATACAGTTCATGTCACCTTCTTTTCTAACATCCAGGCAGCAAGTTTCATGAGAGAAGTTTCAGCTAGCATAATCTTAAATCGTTCTCTTGGTCATCCAGGTGTACCTTTTGCAAGAACTTCTACATTTCTGTATTTTTTGTGTCTTAAAGCTTCAAAGTAACTGACATTATTTTGTTTAATTTTCTGTTTTTATTTTGTCTAAATCTCCTTCTTTTTTCCTTGTAGCCTTAAAAAAATTTTCACTCCCAGGTGCAAACAACTGAACACTTAAGTTAAAGGGGACTTAATATCTTTTTCATCAATCAAAACACAAAGCATAATGATCAAGTTTGGATAGCTACAGTCACCAATGCAGCACTTCCTGGGGTCGTCATTGATGCTTGCTAGGTGCATGTATTGATGACCCAAAGAATAGCTGCTTAGGAGACCAGGGTCGCTTACCAGAAGTCAGAACTGGTGGGCTGGACCAGTCAATTTGAAAATAAAATAGGCTTTTCCTGAGAGTTTGGCTAAAAAGCTGTCTGTGCTGTGCATAGATTATAAGAATGGACAGTCCTGGATAACAGCTAAATTCTCTCTTTAGCAGAACTGGTTTTTGCCAGCCAGTTCTTACTAATGGAAGTGCCTGGGAAAGCTTTATGTACTGTGCACTACATTCCTGTGGTACCTTCTGTTTTGCTATTAAACAAGTGGCTCACACCTTTGAGATTGTGATTAAAGTTCTTTGGTGTGATCATGTGATCATACTACAGGTGTTTAGAAGTGTTAAGACCATTTTGGTGCTTTTTTTTCCTAACTGTTGTCTGTTGGAGAAATGCTAAATAGTTGTCTTCTAAATTCAATGAGAACTTTCTTTTAAGCATTACTCTCTGTTTGATACTGTTTTCAGTATTTTGAAATTGGAATTGTTTTGAACCTGGGAGTGAACGTGTTTATTTGTATCCTGCAATTTCTTTAAAACAACCTTACTCATCTTATGTTTGTTTCCTTCTTTCCCTCATTATGCTGTTATCGACGCTGACTGATGCCTACCCCCTTGAACTGTTCTCTCTTTTGCTGTCCACTTCAATCTGCTCACGTCACTTGGAATCCATATTCTAGAGGATAAACTGTGACATGCTTTTCACTTTGTTCGGTATGTCTTTTTCCCCCAAGCCTCTGTCATCACCCTTCTTGTTCATTTTGTTTTTCCATACTCAAGAAAGCCTGGTTGTGGATGGGTAACCTTCATTTGTTTCAGTGTTATCATGTTATTATTTTTTGTTTTTGATATTGTTTTTTAATTTTGTTGGCATTTCATTGAAGAGCTAATGCTTCTAACTTTCTCCTGAATTATTAAATGCTGTCAAAGTCTGCTCCATTATGGCTCATTTACACCTTTTGAAATGAAGAGAAACCTGGTGCCTTAGTTCTCCACAGAACTAAGAAGTTATCCATTGGTGTACAATTAATATTTTAATAATTATTTAAGGCAACCCTCTAAGTCCTAATATTTATCGGCAGACATATTCTCCTCTCTGTTTTGGGCTGTGTTGTAGCAGTGCTGGTGGCCTCTGGCAACTTAATTGTGACTAGGGCCCTCGGAAAATCTTTATTTTTTCACAAAACAGATGACTGGTTTCTGACGATTTCTTATAGCACATCTTTTCTGTACTCCAGTTTCTTCTATAGCTGTAATGGGGAGAATTTGCTTAAGAATCAAGACTAAAATATGCAGTATTGCAGGCAAGGAGGAATTAGATGCTGGTCTCTATTAGGGCTTACAGGGTTTAAGAGAGAGCCTTAATCTTACAGTAATCCATTTAAGAAAATAAACAATGTAACAATTCATGGTCAAAGAATTCACAAGCCATAGCAAATTCATGCTCACTTTAACCAGTCGTTTGGATGTCTTGCTAATCCCAGAATTCATTTCTTTTTTCTTTCCTGTCTCAATTTTTTTGTAATCCCTATGGTGTCCCTCATTTGCTACAAAGTTGTAGCAGAGTGATGTCTGGATTATCCAAGTGGTTAAATTAACACCTTTGCATCTTGAAGTGTACATTGCTGTTTTTGAAAGTTGAGCGACTTCATATCACACTCTTTACATTGTGGTATAACAGGTTCAATAATGAAATGCTTAATGTGTGTTCCACTCATAAAACATAAACAATCTGACTGTACACCAATCCTCCATCTGTAGGTGTGTATGGCGACGTAGTTCGTGTAAAGATTCTCTTCAACAAGAAGGATACAGCACTCATCCAGTTCAATGATGGTCAGCAGGCCCAAACAGGTACTTCTTACAATCATCATGCTTGTTCTTTTAGAGTTGTACAAAATTTATCAGACAAATGATTCAGATATTCTTTTAGATCTGGATGCACAATGCAATTCTGTGAAATATTTGTGTTGTGATATTTTGATGGTGTTTGTACATTTTGAGCCCACTTCTTGAAAATGGTAGTCATTTTGAAATTATGCACGTAACGAACAAAGGCAGTCTCTGAAGACAGTGTCGTTTTATACTTGCATAATATTATTAAATAATTGCCCAATGCTCTTCCCTGGCCTGTCTTGCTTGTACTCAATTTTCACAAACTTCAATTCTAAACGGAGGTGAGAAAAATCAGCTACATAGTACATAATTGCGAGCCAAAAAGCAAACGGAAAAGAAAAATTTGGGCCAAATAATTAAATGGACTTAAGCCAGTATTTACCAAAACTGCATCATTTGAAGAACCTTACATATTGCTTGATCTTCCACATCATTCTTCCACACTTGTATAAGCCATTAATTTTCAGTCTGCCCAACCCTTTTGTCTGTTCACTGTAATTGGTTAACAGTTTCATGAAAGCATTTGCATGTAGCATAGACTAAAAAGGCAATAATCTTCTTAAAATGACCCGGTCAGTAAGGGATCTGGAGTTCTGATGATTTCTTAACTAGTAGCTTAAGTATGGGCTAGTTGTTTAAATAACCCTTGGTGTCTTAAAGGTCTTTACTGAGTAAATGTTGTTTTCATTCTTAGCAATTTCAATTTTGAATGGAGTTAGAGTTTATGGAAAAGAAATTAGGGTCACAGCATCTAAGCACTACTCAGTCTCTATGCCCAAGGAAGGAGACGTAAGTTGTCATGATTCATTAGTCGAGTCATTTCAGTGTCGTTTTTGAGCGGTTGTTTTTGCTCCAGTTTTAAAGGGGTAGTCTTGACAGAGAAACTTTCATTTCCTTTTATTTGCAGGAAAACAATCTGACCAAAGATTTTACAAACTCACCTCTACACCGCTTCAAAAAGCCAGGATCCAAAAATTTTCAGAATATTTTCCCACCAATCAGAACACTACATGTCTCAAATATCCCGTAAGTGTTNCGAACAAAGGCAGTCTCTGAAGACAGTGTCGTTTTATACTTGCATAATATTATTAAATAATTGCCCAATGCTCTTCCCTGGCCTGTCTTGCTTGTACTCAATTTTCACAAACTTCAATTCTAAACGGAGGTGAGAAAAATCAGCTACATAGTACATAATTGCGAGCCAAAAAGCAAACGGAAAAGAAAAATTTGGGCCAAATAATTAAATGGACTTAAGCCAGTATTTACCAAAACTGCATCATTTGAAGAACCTTACATATTGCTTGATCTTCCACATCATTCTTCCACACTTGTATAAGCCATTAATTTTCAGTCTGCCCAACCCTTTTGTCTGTTCACTGTAATTGGTTAACAGTTTCATGAAAGCATTTGCATGTAGCATAGACTAAAAAGGCAATAATCTTCTTAAAATGACCCGGTCAGTAAGGGATCTGGAGTTCTGATGATTTCTTAACTAGTAGCTTAAGTATGGGCTAGTTGTTTAAATAACCCTTGGTGTCTTAAAGGTCTTTACTGAGTAAATGTTGTTTTCATTCTTAGCAATTTCAATTTTGAATGGAGTTAGAGTTTATGGAAAAGAAATTAGGGTCACAGCATCTAAGCACTACTCAGTCTCTATGCCCAAGGAAGGAGACGTAAGTTGTCATGATTCATTAGTCGAGTCATTTCAGTGTCGTTTTTGAGCGGTTGTTTTTGCTCCAGTTTTAAAGGGGTAGTCTTGACAGAGAAACTTTCATTTCCTTTTATTTGCAGGAAAACAATCTGACCAAAGATTTTACAAACTCACCTCTACACCGCTTCAAAAAGCCAGGATCCAAAAATTTTCAGAATATTTTCCCACCAATCAGAACACTACATGTCTCAAATATCCCGTAAGTGTTGGCTTTCATTTACTAATAAGAATAATTATTTTAAATGAAACATGTAAATAAATAAATAACATAAACGATTTAGATGTAGCACATCCACAAAGTGGTTCTTCGTCTACCTTATTCATGGTCATGTTGGTTTTTTGAGGAGTGGGGAAAACTGTAGTACCCAGAGTAAAACCTCTCCGAGCAAAGGATAGAACCAACATCAAACTCAACCCACATATGGCGTCGGCGTGATTTTATCACTGGTTCAAGTTTAATTGGAGACTTTTCTCTGTTCAGCTCCTCTGAAGACTCATTAGTTTTGTTTTCAATTTTTATAGACTGGGTGCTAACAATAGGGCGGGGTCGTGGAAAGGGGGGGCTCGTTTTTGTGCCATAGAGTGGAGGCTTATTATGATGGGCACTTATCAGGGGCTGGGTCCAATAATATGATAACCAATGTGTCATGTTTCTAAAATGTTTCATTTGTTGTGGAAAATACAGTGACTCAGCAACAGAGGAAGAATTGGTGGATGCTTTTAGTGAAGCAGGGACAGTGACAGACTTCCGTTTTTTCCTGTGAGTATTTGTAGAACTATTATTGCAGATATGCATCCTAGATAGCACATACATGTATGACAGTCTTCAGAAATCTTAAGAACCAAATGATAGTCAAAGCTGTTCATGTAGCATGTTACATGTACACTTCACACGGGCCCAATAGGTGCAATTTCTCAGTTTTAAAAGCAATTTTCTGTTGATCAGCAAAATCAGTTTTGCAATTGTTATGGTTTTTATTTCTTGTCTTGATTGGCTCAATCGTTTGCTTCACTTTCTCAAACAAACTAATATTTTGTCCAGCTAGCATGCGCGTGCTTGGCACCAGTCAAGTTTTCCTTGAAAACTGATTGACTGTTTCCACTGGTTTTAAATGTTATTTTAACTCGAGTAACAGTCACATGAAAGATGAAGCTGTTGAAGTAAGTTTCACAACTTGGAAGTCACTCCACTGCCACTCCACTGTTTTCCAGTTAGTGCATGTACTCTCAGGGGACTATTTTTATATTTCAGCATAAAAACAACAGGACACTAATCATCTGCGGGACTATAGAACTTAGCTTTGAAGAAATGCTATGATTGAAAATATTGAAAGATTTAAACAAGAGGGGAAGTTAATTATAACAACTTGGGAAATTCCTTTGTACTTAATTGCCCCATTATTTGGTACTGTTTACAGGAAGGACCATAGGATGGCTTTCGTAAATATGACGTCAACAGAAGAAGCTATTGATGCTCTCATTGTAAGTTATTAATCATTGTAACTATAATAATTCAATTGATAAAAGGCATATCTTAGCCTTGATCATGCAAGAGCTAACTTGGGTCTTTGCTACTACCAACAGAAAATGCACAACTATAAAATTACAGAGTCAAATCACCTGAGAGTATCGTTCGCCAAGCAAGTGATGGCATCCTGAACTGCATCATTTGGAGAAGCTTAGACATCGCTTGACCGTGCACGTCATTCTTCCACAGTTGTATGAACCATTTCTTGCAATCAGATGGGCTTTGTATAAAGACAACCAGAGTTGTTCATGTTTTGTCCTTTTGCTGGTGGCAGGTATGCATTTTGGAAGCTATCAGGAACATTTTGGTTCTCTCTTTTCTGTCAGGGTTATGGCATTTATATCCTGCTGTCTGGCCATGTTTGTTGCTGAAGGATTTCTCCTCAATACTTCAATACAGTTCTTTCTACTCAGCATTATTTTTTTGGCAAAAGTATTGTATCCAGGGATCTAGAGAAGGGAATAGCAAATGTTATATGCCACCTCAAAATCATTATTCTGAGTGCTCTCTGATTATTGTTAAATTGTGTACTTCAATATACATTTCGCACGTGCATTTTTTTCTTTGCGACGTTTTTTGAGTAATGTGCTAACAGTTAATGTGCAATTTTTTTCTTATTTTTGGTGTTTCTTTGCTACGAGCATATTATGGTCCTTTGAATTTCTTGTTTTCTTGAACTTGAAAATATAATTTAACAATTTGATGGGTAAAGTTAAGAAAGATTTTAAAAATAGTTTATTACGTTGTTATGTTTCCAGTTTAGCAGGGCCAAGTTGTTCAAAAGCTGATGAGCATCAGTCTACGTTAGGAGTGATTTTACTTGAACCATGAAACAGATACTAACAAATAGTACAAAATAGCAAGAGGAATCAAAAGAAGACAATGGAATTAGTGCATAAAAGTGCGTAGTATTCCACTACCTGTTTCACGGGTTAAGTAAAATTACTCTAGTTTCTTATAACAACTCATAAGTCACTTTTACAGCCAACCCAAGATTAGAGCTTTCAGCGTTTCGAACAATTTGAACCAGAGTTGCTTTAAAACGTCCTAGAATGCCAGTAATTATAATGGGCTTGGGATACTGGGATCAAGAAATATGTGATGGGGAACTTAAATACACGGAAGGAATTTGATTTGAAGAGAAGATGTTGAAACACTTGCATATTTTCAATTCAGCTTTCTTGAAAGGGGCTTTAATTTAAGTTTAATTTAGCTTTCTCAACTTCTTTGCGAGAAGCATCAGTTGACTGTTGTGTAATTAAACAAATATGCAATGCAAGGGGTAAAAACAGACTTGGAACTTTCTCATAAAACTTATGTCAATGTAGTAAAACCCAGATGTAGATTCTCCAAGTCTGCTACTCGGCCAAAGTGTTTCTTGTTCTTGTCCTTACTTTGAACTCTTTCACACCCAGTAGAAAACGTTTAGACTTGCAATAAAGATAAACTTTGCAGAATAATGAGGATGAAATCCTAAAGTGTGACCATTCAAACAAACGCTTCTGAGCAAATACTTTCTTATGGTAGTTTTTCTATCATGATGTTCAAAGTGGTTTTAACTTTCGAGCTGTGGGCGAGTGAAAGTGAAAGTTACTGGGCAGTACTTTATAAGGGGGTTGACCATTTCTGTTAGGTGTGAAAGCGTTACGCTCTTGTCTTTCCATTTTTCAAGTCAGTATATAAAGTTTTCTGTTTGCTCTTTAATTACTATTCTACGCTGCCGTTATTTGGAATATTATGCAACACTGTCCGGCCCAAATAACGTCTGCGTGGGGGACAAGTATGTTGATGAATCCCTTCCAGTTGACCCTTCAACTCCCATGATTTGATGATTAATTCTCATTTCTCATTGCTATATATCATATTGAATGTTGAATAAGAGAATTTTGGATCGTATCATTAGAGACCTTTAGATTCGAGGACGAGATTTGATTCAAAGTTTTTCGCGTATTATTAAAAAATGGACACCCCGGAAAACTCCAGTGTACTTTTTTCACCAGAAAAGGTTGCACTGTTTATATCTTTATCAATAGGAGGTTAAGCCCTCTTCTGAAACTTCTAACACTTGATAACTTGTTTCCGCTACGACATTCTCGCTAGAACGCTTAGGACAATGACGACGGATGTCACGTTTTCCCGCCAAAATGTCGTTGGTTTACACGCGAGCACCACTAAGCTCTCTATTACAACATCCATTGGCTGATAAATTTGCCTATTCTCATCACTTATGTGTTGGACAATGTATTGGATATTGTAAGGAGAAGTTAATGCCAATCACTTCTGGGAGTTAAAGGGTTAAGCGTAGCTTTGATTTGATCTGCACCCTGTTACTATGGATGCGCCTCGTTAAAAAATTAGGACCACATTTTATCAAGTATTGTAATTGTAGGTACGCTTGAACCTTGTTTTTAGCGTTAATTGATGGTATTTGAGGGAGGGCCTTGTAAAAACATCATTGGCGTCAATTGCATTTGTAGTAACTTTTCATACGAAAAGGATTTTTAGAAAAATAAACATTAATTTCCTAAGTTTTTTGTGTGTTGTTTGTCTGCGAAATGCGAGAGGAAAACCAGTCGGCGTATACATATTGCAACTAAAAGAGAGGTTTTCATTCAATAAAGGACTGGTCCACACCCAAAAACAGAAAAACAGCGTACTCGATTTATCCTAACACTTCGTCAATACTGCTTTAAGAATTCTTAATTTGACAGCGCACCCAAAAGAAGTGGAGAAGCAATGGGCCATTTTTTCTCCCTGGTAGGGCTTATCCTTACCCAAATGACCCAAACGACCCATCTGACCCACATGACCCATCTGACCCACATGACCCAAACGACCCATTTGACCTACATGACCCATATGACCCACCCGACGGGTACTTGAGCAAGAGAGAGCCATTATTGTTGCGATAGTTTATGACGTCAGTTGTGGGTTTTTACACCGAAGATAAGCCCTTCGTAGAGAGTTATAGTCCCAGGCGTTCCCAGCGGACACTGTCGAAACTGTGGATAAGATCGCGACTTGACCTACGACGACGACCATAAAAAAATTCCAAAGCGCCATGCATGTTTTGTGAAGAAAGCTTTGGAAAGATTTTAAAAATGCGAGAGATGTCTAGCTTTTCCAGAACGGGTCGGTCCACGAATTCTATCGATTGAAATGAGTCTTGTGATAAGCACGCGGTTTATTTTCGGCGATGATTGAAACGACGCGCCATGTTTATCGCGTTTTGGCGCTTTGGCAATGATGTAATTTCTCTCGAATGGATGTCCTTGATTTCGTGTATTTATACACGCGTACTCAATCAATTCAGAAACAAATGGTCGAATACGATATAAAAAGTAAATACCCTGGAGAATACTCGACCTTCGATAAAGTAGGACGTGGTGCGAAGGCGAAGAGTTCGAAAGTGAGTGAATTAACGCGTTACGTTTTTCAGAATATTTCAAGCAATTCCTGGAATTCTACGGTAAAATAGATTCGGGGTTTTATTGCAGATTCACTTTGTTGTACGTATTTAATTCCTAGATTTTCGCAGTTGGTAAGAGCTTTTGCGGAAAAATCTGAAGTCGAGTTACACTTTGTATGTACGTGAGATATCAATCATTTTTTGTCAACTACTCGTCACGTATGTGTCGCGGATATGTTACGAAAAGCGAAGTTCAAATCCGTTTTCAAGCACAATAAACCACTTGCACTAAGAGGTCACGTGACCAATGCTTCCCTTAAACAATGACTTGGAATCTTACACCCGAAATTTGAGAGGAAACGCATTTAAGGGAGATATTTTATGGTTCTTTGATTTTTCAACAAAGTAGTATGATTTGTATTGGCTGCCATGTTGGAGGGCATACTCTTTCCCTCCAACATGCATGGCGGCCAAAACTACTTTTTGCTTGTATCTTGTTAAACGTTTGGTAGTTACGCTCAGATGTGCTGTAAACGTCACCACATCATCTTTTCAACAATTTCCTTGAAGTTTAAGTGCAAAATTCTTGTTCAGAAAGAGGTAATTCATAGTTTTAAAAATTACATTTTGGTCACGTGACCAGCTACGAAATTGCTCATTTTAAGAAAATGGTGCGGGTCACTATTATTTTGTTCAAGATATGACCCACTAATCGTTTTTTGAAGGCGAAATCATATTACTTTCATTTAACAAAAAAAAATGATGTCATATGACATCTTAGTGCAAATGGCCTATTTAAATCTGTTTTTGAATGTCATGCGAAAACGAAAAATGCAATGGAGAATGAACTTGAATTCCAATTTTCCATGCTATCGGAAAACGGTTGGTACTAAGGTATAAGCATTTCTAGCCTGCGTAGTTGGCGCGCGAAAGCTGAAATGAGGACGAACAAGAAAACGATGGAGGAGGGGCCGAGGGGAGAAGGCAGTGAGAAAAATGCCTTCTCACCTCGCCCCCTCCCTCATCGTTTTCTGTTTCAACCTCCGTTCACCTTTCGCGCGGCTATAACTCTTTCTTAGAAACACAACAGATACCGCCAGCTAGGGTCCATTCACTGGTCCACAAGGGTGGGCGACAGCAGCGAAAACATCACTTTAAAAATGAATTCGCGTTTTTTTCAAACGTTTTGAAAACTTCAAATGTAGGCATATGTATTCCCTGGAGTTGATTTCTTGGAGAACGCACTCAAGTTTAGAAAGAGAAAGAAAAATTCGTCGTCGCTTGTTTACGTCCTCCATAAAGCATAAAATTAAACATTTTTCACGTCTTAATTAGTCGTGCAGAGACGGAATAGAAATGTACAAAAAAGCGTGATGCACGTGCAAAGTTGTTGTTTTGCTGAAAACCCCACTTGCTTGTGTTTTCTTGTCATTAGAAGGCAAAATTAAAATTCAAACCGTAGTTAACACTTAAGAACACTTTCCAGGAGGTTCAGTCCAGAATTTGTACTTTTTAAAGCCCCCCAGTTCTAAGTAACCTCCAAAATTTAACCTCGTCTGTAGTCTGTTTGCTTTCTGGCCTTAAAACTGAACTATGAGCGAGTCGTTCTCGTTAATAACTACGGCTAAATAACATAAACTTCTTTTACCTGCTTGCTTGAAACTTCGAGACTTAAACCATCCCTCGACTTGCTTAACAGCACAGTGTAAACCCGGAACTGTATTATTTTCTCTGGCCATTTATGCGCCGTGAGAAGTAATTCCGTGGTTTCTTGTTTGTTTGAACGCGTCTAAAAATTAATGACGTCATTGGTGCGCTTCCTCGTCCCCAGGGTCTTCTCGTTCCAATAGGCCATTGCCAATTGCCAAGTTGCCCCTATGCTCTGTCCCAGGGGGGTGGAGAGGGGAAATCCGAATTCAAGTGACCGAGATGATCGAAGGTTTTTTGGGGGTTTGAAATTTTCGATTCTGGGATAATTTTGGGTGGCTCGAGTTGAGAAGGGATTTTTTTGGGGGGGATATTCAAAACAATCTGAAGATTCGTGGTAGTGCCCGCGTATCCCCGCCCCACTGGGGCTAAGTGCGAAGCTTTTTATATGAAAAATATTTTATATTCTTATGCAAACAAAACTCAATTTTGCACTTACCCTCGTTTTGAAAGTGAGGGTTTTTGTAACTCGGAAATGGCCTTTTGGAAAAACTGAGAACACCCTGGGGACGAGCTGGCGGCAGCTTTCTGAATATGCTGAACAAGTGCTAAGCATTTTATTTCTGACAGAAACACGACAGACTATGTGATCACCCGAAATCGATGAGAATTTATTAGCATTCTCGCTGGTGTAAGTTCTGGCGAACAAAAGGATTCAATCGGTTTTTCTATACTACTAACTTCATTCTTTTAGCGGAAAGATGCAATTAATTATAATGAAACTGAAACACTGTTGAAGTAATTCTCCCGGATAAATATGAAAGACATTGAGCAGCCGTAGCACTGTGATTAAGGCTATGTTCACCTTAATCTCGTACCCAGACCTCACTCTGTCTTACGCTGAAAAGTGAGATCTCCCTTTCCCTTGGCCTTGGGAGATCTGGGTACGAGATACCGAATAACGTTTGCGCCGCCACGATAATCATACCGTATAGGGCCTCTGTTCACACACAAGAACGGTTGCGGTTGTGCGACTTCTGTGACGGAGCGAAGCTGCGGCTCGCCGATTTATAAAGTGGAGAGTCAACGGATAGGTGTACACACTACAAGGGATAGTTTCACGCGGCGAAAGGCATTCCGCTTTAGAGTGGCAAAGCATAAGAGCAACACGAGAGGTATAAAGAACAACAAATTAGTTTCACCACAATACACCCACATTTATTACCATATTATGTTGATGCTAATACCAGACTACAAAGGCAAAATACCTTTTACACTACAGTTTCGATTTTTAGTTGACTATTTTTGAAATTCAAAGCTGCGTAGTTACAGGGTTGCTTTAACTTTCCTGTTTTGTTCGCGAACTGGAAACAATTCTTCTAGTTATTTGACTCGTATGATCATATGACCTTTTCACGATCATGCAAATCCTGCTAAGACTATTTAAGTTAAAACTGATGCTAGAAATAATCCCATGCTGGTCAGGATGTGGAGTTTATAGATCAAAGTTCTCTAACTAGGTTTATATCTACCATAACAATAGCTAAAATGTTTAATTCTACAACTACAAAAAAGTAAATCAGTTATAAATCGGACGGTACGGCCGAGACAATTATCACGCGCCAATCACGTGACTATGCTGTTAACCACTCAGGGAAGATGCTAAGAAAGCCACACCGCGCTCATAAAAGCGATGCTCTCGACCAGCGGGTTCACCTCTAGTTGCCATGTCAACAGTGAACAGAAGCTCGGTACGTGTTTGATTGAGATACACTGGTAGGGTGACCTGCAGAAAGAAAAAGACGGCACAACGCTTGTGGGTGAAAAACGTAACACGGCTATTACTTGCGTGTGTTGTCGTGATCTTCACTTACATTAATGTTTTCGGGTCTTTTACAAAAAGATCTGTTTCAAGGAGGGTGAAGTTGGGCGAAAAGTTTTTTTCAAACAAAATTATTGTCACGCTCGTTGGCACATCGGACGCAAAAAACCCCTGATTTTTAGCATCTTAAAGTTTGCACTCAAATGACAGCAGATTTCGGCACGTTCGTTTTCAAGAATCCGGCTAGATATAAGATATGACAGGACATAAATTAAACGTTAATAACTAAAACAGTTACACATACCTTTCCTTCGAGTAAATGGTCAGTTCCCGGTTCAACCCTAAAAATATACCATAAAATACGCGATCAATGACTGTATGGCAGATACATACCTGACATACACGCAAGAATGTTATCAAGCCTTTCGCTGTCCTTAGACAAGCTCAATTGCCACCTTGTAAGATCTTAAAGGAGGTGGCCAAGCTCAGAAAGTCGGCGGAGCAACAGGGATTAATCTAAACCGCAACTGCCTCAAGGTAAAGTTAAAGAAATGCACAATACAAAAAAAGAAAAAATTCAAACAGTAACTAAAGAAGAAGGGAAAAAAAACAGAATGCAATGATTAAGGGTTTTGTTGTCTATCCTTGCGTCAACCTCTTTTCACTGGCACTTCAAAGAATACCATGGCATCAACAAACACTACACCGCCTTGACTACATTTTTAGACCTTTTTAGCAATAATTATAAAATTCCTCTACCAACAATGATCAGCAATCTTTTATCCTAACGAAAGAGCTCACGAGGCCGCAGAACAAAAATATCAATTGAACAACGCATTAAAACATTTTTTACCTGATCCACTTCAGACTGGTCAGCGGCAGATCAGTCAAAATCGTTGCTGTCAGTTCTAACTTGTTGTCAAGGCAACGGGCACCTTGGAGTCGAAGTCCTGCGAGAAATCAATCACCCTTTTAAAATGACTGAAAGACAACCAATCTCGTTCCCAGGGTCACTCTTCGCCCCGTCTTCCCACTCTAAGGGAACTGAATCCTGCAGCCTCGACACCAAAAGGAGACTGCACATGGAGTCATCGAAAAAGAAAAGCCTGGAGGAGTTCTAGACGTTCCACATGTCTCCCTTACGGTGTTGGTGATCAAATTATATTAGTTTTCTGATTGTATTTTATTATGAACCATTCAGTTTGATGTTACTGATAACTCAGACTAAAAGCGGTTCTTTCATACATCTAGCTTATTTTAGCTATTTTGCCACTTAACGTTAAGAGCTAATACTTGAGTATAACCTTTAATTCCAAAGCTGCAGTCATCAATGGTAAGGCGATCGTCGGGTCCATTTGCAATAGTCACCTTAGAAGAGATTTTTTAAAAAAGATAATCAAGATAATTTCTCCACTTCAGCGAGGAGTAAAGACAAACAAGAAGGAATTTTCGGTTCAACAAGTTTATTGTAGAGATCTTTTGTTAAGTACAATGGGTAAGAAAGTTACTTTCGTGACATTAACGATAAACAGGCCTACAATAAACACGAGACGAAGAACACTACCTTTCACTAAATATAAATACTGCACTATCTTTAGTTGAGTTTTTTCAATCAGAGACAAAAGAAGAAGACGAATGAAAAATATAGGGGTGGCGGGGGGAGGGAAAGAAGAGAAAGGAAAGAACAAAAAAAAGGAGAAAAAGAAAGAGGTTACCTCCAATGTTAGTTCTTCCAGGGACCAATTGTTCGCCTGTGCAACGAACTGACGGGTTGCTGTGATGTATGCCTCAGGGACAAACATTCCGCCCAGCCAAATATGCAAGTTCTAAGAGCAAAATCAAAACAACTTTAGACAAGCGATAGGATGTAAAGCAAAAAAGGGTACTTTTCTCCGAGCGACAGCCAGAGAATCCAGGGATTTTTTTGCGCTGCTTCAGTAACATGTCATGCTTCTTCAATAGCATTCACAGTCTATTTAGGAAGTTAACTCTTTAACTATTTAACTTCCAAGAGTGACAAACAGTTTTTCCTGACAATATCAATACATAATCCTGAGAAAAGGTTAGGAGAATTTACAAAATGATCACAAAATGGAAAATGCCTTGATCTTTTATTAACTTCTCTTAAATAACTTCTTAAGGAATGGTATGGGGACCAGTTGGGAGAATTTGTGTGTGGATATTGGGGCCTAAAGGGCGGAGCCTTAGTGTCAGCATGATGTACATTCTCCACACTGCTATCCGCACATTTCCTAAGGTAGTGATGAGAATTTGTTCAACAATAGAGGTCTTTTCTCTTCTTTATGATTTCTTTTTTTCAGTCATAGGGTTTAAGATGCAAAGAACAACTGCATTCCTTTACACACATGCAACAATTAAAAAAAGCCTGCGTCGCAGGCTAGCAACTCACGACCAGCAACGTCTGCGAACCGGTCGAACAATCGTTTTCTTAACAGGCCAATTATGGTGCGTACTCAAATTCTAGTACAAAACTGGCGGCCCAGAAAAAGAATTTCGGCGCTGGCTCGCAGATGAACTTAACCCAGGGGTTTGGTTTCGTCTGTGGTGAAGGCTAAAATTATTATCATTTTTTTGGTTTTTGGCTGAATGTCGGAAAAGCTAACCTTAAGGCCCTTGGCTCCACCCGTGTTGGCAGCATGGGAGATCTTCTGAAGCTGCTTAATTCGGTCACTGAAGTCTGCTACCCACTGAAGGACTGTCAGGCCTTTTGGAACGGTATAGCGTCTCCAGTTAGATGGCAAAATACCTGAAATTACACAAAGGAACGACAGTTGATCTAACGCGGTTTTTCTTACATTTGTAAATATCGAAAGTAATTTTGTTTTTTTTTTGTTTTGCACTTTCACGTTTGAGGATTGGCTTAAAAATCGCTAGCCTGTATCAGGCTCCAAGACAGTAATATGCAGAGATCGCGATCGCGAAAACTCATGCGAAAAAAGCGAAGGAGCCACCGACCCCTCCCTGACATCACGCACATCCTATCTCGCTTGACTTGTTCTCGCGACGTCCCTTCCGTCTGATGAAAGCCCGGCACTGGCTAAAAAATCTCCCGTAGGACCGTCGGGAACCGGTGATTAACTGGGTAATTAAGTTGGTACTGTAGATGATAATTATTTTCTTAGTAAGTGTAAAAAAAGCGACTCTTACCCTTAACCAAGTCGCTCATAAGATTCCTCAGGTAATTGGTAGGCTTCTTTTGGCTTTCACAAACGAGCACCACATGATTAAGGTCCTCTCGGATGGTATTCAAAAGCTGGTAGCCAGTATTGACCTAGAAAAGTAATAAATTTAACTTATTTCTTCAAATATCAAATCTTGTCAAGCAAAAAGGTTTCGAGGATATGATCCAAGAATATAAATTACCGTAAAAGTTCCGAAGTTTCTACCCAAACAAGACGACGACGCATTAATGGCGCAATTTTTTTAAAACTGCAAGGGATACTTGGTACTTACCTCACGTTCAAAGTAGCGGAAAAGTGGATCTTTGATGTTGTCCAATGTTCGTTTTAACGGCGTCAAATCCTACAAAAAAAATGTTACACGAGTAAGATTGGTTTTAAACCGAGAAATGGCAGAGTGAAAGGGCAAAGCAGTCAATCTTACTTGCCGATGACAAATAGATGTAACAATCCAATTCACTATTCCGTGAAGGCATAGGTGCAAGCTTTCAGCGCAAAGATTTCTGGGATCATTTGGTTGGGAAAGCATTACTTATGATTGGTTATGGTTTAATACCATCGACCAATCATAACTAACGTTTGACCACTCACACGACCCCAGAGAGCACTGCACCTAAAGCCTGTACCCCTTCTCCCATTCGCTTCTGAAATAGGCAATCATGGGGTAATCGAACTTCAGAAATACGTGTATATAGGTAACTGCTATCAAGAGAAAGAAAACCCGATAGGCCTAGTCACAATTGGAGTTAGTTTCAATTTGATTGGCTAAGGTTGCGGTATTACATGTACTTTTGACAACTAATAACAAAGTGCAATCGTGCAAAAGCAAAGAAAATCTAAGCCTTTTCCATGCGTTCAACTTAGGGTCAAAAATCAGTGCAAGGGAAGGCACACAACACTTCCCATTTTTTTTTTATCTCCCTGCAAAATCTTACTGTGTGAATCAGGCTTCAGAATCGTGTACTTTACGAGTATTTTTTTGTACCTTTGGTATCATACTAAGCCAGTTTGCAGCTGTTGAGTGCAAGGTTCTCATCCAGGCGGGACGGGGGTCACTCTCTCGCCTCTGTTTCCTACAACACAAAGGGAAGTTGGAACAAATGTTAATTCCCCACTTTAGAAATAAGGGGAATGGGTACAAGCTTTCGGCGCAATGATTTCTGGGATCCTGATTTGGCTGGACAAGCGTTACTTGTAACTGGTTAACGGTTGCCTTAGATACCACTGACCAATGATAACTAACGTTTATCCACGCAAAAGATCCCACAAAGCACTGTACCCAAAGCTTGTACCCATTCTTCCTAAAGTTTGAGGAGTGGGGAATGCTGATTATTATGCTGAACACAATGGTTCTAACTTCTTCGTTTCTTGCTGATAAAATATAGGTATGACAATTAAAAATGAAAGCTACTGAGCAGCACTCTCTTGCGGTTCTGTTTTTTTTTTCTGCTTTACAAGGTAGCTCTACCTTTTTGAATCTATGGATGAAATGGTGACGCGTCGCCAGGCATATAAAAGCTCCTGAACAGTACTTTTCTCTGGTGATGTTTAATATGCTGTCGAGGAAAGTCTTAGGGCCTGTTTACATGGAGTGGGGGACCCCGGTCTAGTGGGGTTGGTTTCTTTTGTTTTCACGCTCTGAGGGACACAAAACAAAAGAAACCTACCCCACTAGACCGGGGTCCCCCACTCCATGTAAACAGGGTCTTGGTCTTGACGTCGACCACAGTCGTTAAATGTGTCAGTTGAAGCAAAAGCCATAGTTTTAAGTCGCATTTATCGTGGTCTGTTTGGATAAAAACTATTTTAATAACCAACATGTTTTGGTATAATCACTTACATAACCATTAGCCCTTTACAACACCCATTCTAAGAATATTCACCTTTTTAACCTTACTTTTAAAACAGTCACCTCTTGACCATAACTTTGAATTTAAAGTCAATAAATTTTTTACCCACAATGAAAAAAACAAAAAAAAGTTCTAAACAGGAAGAACAAAAATAATGGGTCGGCAGAATGAATAAACGAATGCTGTGCATATGCATGTTGAAACTGAAGTGATGGTTAAGTGTACAAGCAACGTATGCAAGCAAGCACTTTACTTATATCCTTAGCTGACATTCTCTTGCTTTCACGAAATTTGACACCCTTTCCTCGTGCTATTGTAAGGAAATTAAAAAACTTAGTAACTATCGTCCTCCTCCCCTTAAAAATTCAACTTTTAGGACACTAAAAGGTCGCCGCCATCCTTTTATACAAAATTAGCGATAGCGGCAATCAAAGTATGACGTCACAAAAATCAAATTGGCAGAATGCCATGGAAAGGCGGAGGGTGAGGGGGAAGGGGGCGTCGAGGGATAGACCACTCTCCATTTGTAAGAAAAGCGATTTGTATTTCGTTTAATGTCTAACAATTAAACTTTAATTTGCTATAACAACGGATGATACTTTTCCGCTCTGTTTACTAAAAGAACAACCAGAGTGATTGGTTAACTAACCAATAGTTTTTAGCCAATTGTAGTGCCCGTTAGATTATGCTTATTTTATAAAAGCCTTTACTTTACTTACTCTGCACCATATATCCCGTGTATGAGAGGTACTTCAAGAGGCTGGCCTAAGCTTTAAATAAAACGTTTAACATGCATGAAGGTTTTACATTTTAAGATTTCAAAACTCGGAGGATTTCGAGATTGAGAGCACAGAGTTAGACGGAAATATCTTTCTCGGTTAAAGACGCCAGGACTCCTCGTGAGATTTTAGTAAGACTGGAAAGGCCAGAAGACAAGATGGTTTATTGCTTTCGGGTTTGTTGGCAGAACAAATGCTCCTCAAGATTGCAGAAAAAGATTCCACGAAACGAAGTTGTAAAGCGCGAACAGTACTTTTCTGTAGTGTTGGTTATGATGCTGTGTAAGCCAGCCTAAAGCACACACCACTCAAATGAAAGCTACTGAGCAGTAAGTTGCTGAGTACTGTTTATTATGCTGAACAAGGTGTTTCTAACACTTGAGTCTATGGGTGAAATCTTTAAGTGCGACAATTCAACGGAAAGCTACTGAGCAGTATTCTACTGTGGTACTGTTTATTTTGCTGTACAGGGTGATTCTAACACTTGCGCCTGTGGGCAAAATCCTAAAGTGTGACTATTCAGCTGAAAGCTGATGACCAATAGTTTCCTTGTGGTAATGTCTATTATGCTGTGCAAGGTGGCTCTCCTTTTGTGCCTGTAACTGAAGGCCTAAGTGTGACTGAAAATGTTGTTTACCCACGCTGGTGAAGACGTAAAGAAAATCTCCTGATTTAGAGAGCGGTTTTAATCATCAACTTCATCACTGCACGTTCAGAGTTAAAAACAATGCTCTTTCAGGATACTAAAAGCTGGAAGCAGGTAAGCATAGAGATAAGTGAAGGAACGGATGTGTAAAACTAAAGCGTGAATTGTAGGAAGTGAACGCAGTTTAAAGTGAACAGATTTAAACGAAAATTAACCAAAGTGGAGACAAAAAAAATATAACATTTAAGTTAACAAACAAAACAAATAGTAATACTGTTTATATTTTGACAGAGCAAAGGTTATTAAAATCAATGTTATGGTACGTCAATTAAGAGAATTCGTAAAGAACAGCAATCATTTAAAACCAAAATGTGAAAGGTTCATATACTTCAAGAGATTAGGGACATCAGATTATAAAACTAGTCGATTTTCCAATTGAATGCTTAGTTCTTTTTAATAGTGTGAACGCTCTATCTAGGTTACTTGAGCTACGAAGTTGAGGTAAAGTTTTAAAATTATATCCTGCTTATAGATTACAGCTAAATCATCTGTGAAAATAAAACAAATGAATTATGGCTTATTTGTTTAGAAAACGCGATTCTCGTATGGCCTTCCAATATTCTTTTCCTCATTCTTCAGACGTTGAAACCAGAAACACTTCGATATGGAAAACGCTAGGTTCAACTGACCGATCAAAATGATGAAAAACTCAGTAACGTTTTTAAGCTCTGACTACTAGGATTGCGTTGTCGCTAAGCCAGCCAATGACTGGGCGCGTAAAGACCTTGCGTGTGCTGAGCCAATCAGATTGCATCTTTTTGGATCACATGTTGTCTGTGTTGAATTGACGAGTAATTATCAAAGGCCACCCGACTATCGTTCTTTTTACAAATGTTAGGCTTGGACGTCACGGTAAGTCGTTACTTTTGAAAAGAAATGTAAGAATCAATTTTACCAAGTTATGAAAGTTTTTTTAAGCCTGTCTATATTTCCTTCCTAAATAGTAACACTGAAATCAAGAGCGGTTACCAATCTTAGATTGGGTTGTCACGGTCAATACTTACCTAGCGGAGTCTGGGGAATAGGCAAGCTCGTCATCATCACTCAACATCTGCATCTTCAGTAGCTTAGTAACCATGTCTTGGCCTACAGATGGGAAATAGGGTGTTGTAAGTGTTGCGTAAAATATGTTTCAAGAATAAATAAAAACGATATCACGGTCTTTCAGAGGTTTCACAGATATTGAAAATAAGAATACAGCTGGCTTAAAGTGAACGATGTTCATTCAGTTTACAGTCCGGTTTCGCTCAAAGGGGCTAGGGTTGCATCGATACATTCTCCCAGGATATGATACCCATCCCAGTGTTCCCAGTGCTTGTGAGCGCACAAAAATATATAAGTGATGAGTGGCAAAAATTATAGAGCATGCATTAAGGTACGGTAAAACGGGCAACAACAAAACACGCGAAACGAGTTGAATAGCGATGTTGCGCCTTTTACCACCCACATCAAACCTGTCTTGGCCAGACAAGGCTGAGGGATGCTTCCACTTCCCTTGGGAAGTCGAACAACTCATTTGTGTTGCCTTGAATATCGTGACGAAGGTCGGTAACTTAAAATACCTTGAGTAGTGAGAAGAACTTTCTCTGCGTTGTTGGGCAGGCCGAGCCACGAGGGAGACTGAGCATCCGGAAGAGCTTCAGTCCACTGCAGGAACTGTTCACGTCTAAATGAGTTGATAAAAAACGAGGTCAGGAAATTATTCTGCTTAAAGATCCTAACAGCTGTAAAAAGTTAAATGATTGAATTTTCAAATCCATCCCTTATAGGCTGCTTGCTTTTTTGCCTATGGAGCTGGGCCTGATAACAACCCCTGTAAACTTAACCAGATAATCTAGTGAGGAAATTACCAGCAAAATCTCAAAAAGGTCGTACAGAAGCCTTTTTCCCATTAAAAGAATTAAATACAAGTTTCAGGTCGAGTAAAGGCCCGATTATGCTTTGGATTAAGAAAGAGGAAGTTAAATCGTTGGATAGCGCGCCACGCACACGCTGAAATGTGGACAAAAAAGATTAGCGCATGAGCCAAGATACTAAACTGCTGACCAAATATCGAGTGGATACGCGACTTGCTGTTTAAATTTCGACCAGCACTTTGGCAATTCTTTATCATTTAAGTATTTGGCTTAGAAAGGGATAAACCGAACGAGCTTAAAAACGTACCTGATTCCTTCTGGCATGACAATTTTCTTGCCTTTTTCTCCATCCACATCAAGAACCAATGGGAAATCAGACTCAAAGCTGCTGACGGTGAATAAGCGGTTCACAAAGGAAGTCAACAGGCGCTAAAAGAGGACGAAAATAATGCTTCAATAACGCGTTGACAAAAGCATGTGTTTTCCCCTAAAGAGAGAGCTTAATTCAAACCTGATCAAAGTCGTTGTCGATGCGCCCGCCATAAATGGCCTGAGACAGAAGAGCTTGAAGGGCGTCCCATGGAACTTTGTTGGGCGGCAGATTGGTACGGCCCTAGGAGCAAAACAAAACACTTTTGAGTGAGTTAGGTCACTTTAAGCTAACAAAAGCAAAACGGAGACGAATTTAAGCACGATTTTCGCGTACAGATTTGAAATTCACCATCACTTAATCTTCGATTTCAGAAAAAGGAGTGTCCAAAACAACTTCTAACAGATAAAATTGTTGTTGACCACGAAAAAACTAGACTAGACACTCTTCTACAACAAAAATTTGTAACAACAATGTACTTCTACATTTCAGGCATTGAAAACTTTATCACCGTGACCATATACTCTTACGATTGCGTTACTGAAAAACAAACACCTTAAGTCACACACCTGGGCAACTGCATCTAACCAGGTATCTAGTGTGTCACACGCCACTCGCAGATCAGACTCGCTGAACTCGTAACGCTTGGACCAACCAAGAGGAGCGTAACGCAAGCGTTCTTGAACAATGGCATGGAACCACGCGAGCAGGAAATATAGACGGGCACGTTCACTGGGGGCCTAAGAAAATTAAAATGGCAAAACGTGATTACCAGTTAATTAACAAAATATTGGATAACATCCTCAACTTCAACATGAAATTCACCTCAGGAAGACACAAGTTTTAATGATACTTTCACACAAAAAGTTCTGTTTTTTCTCTTTGAGCTCTTCAAATCCCGTGAATTTCCGTGACTTTTTCCATGACCTTAGGTTTAGCTGTCAGTATCGAAATTTTTCAAACCTTCCTTGTTTTAGGGTATTTTTTTACTTAACTAAGTTAAAATGCGTGCTGTTCGCCATGTTTAATTACTCGTCTCTACAACTGTATCTAACTTTGTCCTTGCTTTGACATTAGCAGCGACTACATTTAACATACTAAAAATGACTTTAAAGTACCACAACTTACCAGGACTGACAATTAAATTCCATGGCTTTCCAGGCCTGGAAAATTAAATTTTCAAATTTCCAGGTTTTCCACGACCCGTGGGAACCCTGGTGCAGTTCCAACTCAAAAGAGGTACTTCCCCTCTGCAAGATTTTCACAGACGAAACTTACCTTACACATCCTTGTAGCTGGCACAGCGCTGAACGTTCTTAACAAGTTGGCTTTGACTCCAGGCGGAGGCTCAAATACAAATACCCGAGACGCTCTCAGCAAGTTCACAGGAACCTGTTGTAACAAAAACAGTATTTTCAATTGAGTGATTTTTAAAAATGTTCCATTTTGCTTTATCCATGTCTGGTTTATCTCATGTCTACCCAAGAGAACTTTTGTTCGCCCGTTAACACAATAATCGATACACTTGTCCGCAAGTTAAGTCGCAAAACATGAGTGAAGCGGCTTGAAGTTTGTTCATTTTACATGGGACTGATATATGGGGCTTTGATTCATTATGACCGGTGTGGGGGTCTGTATTCTTTGGTAAGCCCTGTAGATAACCTGTGTACAGCTTGTCTGACACAGGCTACTCTGTAGGGGGTGTGAATTGTTTTGTTGACTACAGAGGGGTGGGGGTTAGGACTATTTTGAAGACATGTCAACGGACTTTGACCTCTACCCACCCCGTTCCCAACCCAGTCAAATTAAATGAAAGCTCCCCAAGTCTACAAGATCAAGAGTATACCTTTGGATTGATTTCCATGGTCATAAACAACCTGAAGGCAGCGTGTGGGTTCAAGGTGTGCAATTTCTTTTCCAGTGTTACCAGCCACTGAGGCGCCAGGTGGACATTCTTCAGCAAAACCCATCTAAAGTAAAGAGGAACCAAATATTAAGCCCCAATATCCACATACAAATTCTCCAAACTGATCTCTATATATTTCCTTTAAGTATGAGTTGAGAGAACTTGATAAAAGATCAAAGCATTTCTCATTTGGCGGTCATTTTATAAATTCCCATAACCTTTCCTCTTGATTGTCTATTGATATTGTAAGGAGTAAATTGATGTTAGTCACTATTGGAACTTAAAGGGTTAAGTCTACTCAGGGTCGGAGAAAGAACAGGAGTAAAATGTGAATAGGCAAAGCGATACTTTTCTGTGATACTGTTTATCATGCTGTGAAATGTTGGAGGTTCTAACTTTTGAGTTTGTGACTGAATTCCAAAAGCGTGACCATTCAAATGAAAGCTACTGAGCAGTGCTTTCCTGTGGTACTGTATATTATGCTGTACAAAGTGGTTCAAACTTTTGAGTTTGTGCACGAAATCTTTTCAGAGTGACAACTCAAATGAAAGCTACAGAGCAGTGCTTTTACTGCTGTGCTGCTCTTCTACAAACCGAATACGATTCTTACACTAACACTTACCTGCCAGATTTAGTGGCCGAGTTGATGGCTTTATCAGCAAGACTGAATCCTTCGGCAGAACCTGTCAAAACCAAACCGAGGAAACGTTTAACGCAGTGAAGTGGATAAGCACAAGGTAGGCAAGTGACCAAAGGTCACCGAAATACACAGGAGAGTTAACAGCCAAAGCACAGGGTAGGCAAGTGGCCACAGGTCACCTAGATACACAGGACAGTGAACAGCGAAAATATACATTCCCGAGCACTACAAAGGCTCAAATGTTACAGGCCAAGATCTTAGGGAAGTTCCATCTCTTACCAATAGCAATGGAAGTGCATTGCTTGTTTTGTTCTGCTGCCAGATCATCTACCCAACCACTGGCATCATAACCTGTCACAGAGCACATCAGTAGAGGAGTATTCGCCTTCACCTGTTGAATTCAAACAGAACGTGGTTACCCATGTACTGCATTTTCCATTAACCCCTCACTCCTAGACAATGTGATGGTAAAACTGTGACTCTAACTTTTAAATCCTTGGAGTAAACCCAATAGTGTTACCATTCAAATGAAACCTATTTGACAGAACTGTTCTATGATAGTATTTGTTTTTTACGATTTGTGTGAATTTCTTTTCTTTCGCTACCAGTAAAGGGTTAAATGACCTGCCTAAAGATAATTCGCCTGTACTGCTGTAAGCGACACAAAAAGGCATTTCAACCAACAGAAATCAAATAACTTTGCTACTTCGCCAGGGAGAATTTGTTGTTGTCACATGCGGCTTGGCAACACATGCCCTTGAAGTTTTCTAAAACGCGCACATTTTGTTTATATACATTGTAGGGTGGCTCTACGTGGCAAAGGATGCTTTAGTGCATATCCACTTAGTTAACTCCACTAAGGGACAGCAAATTTCTCCATAATCTTCACAAAAAAAATTAAGAACGATAAGATCGATATGAAAACGACCTACTAATAAGAAATGATTTCTTGCACACAGTTGGTTTGGCATATTTTAGCATTTTCCAAGGGAACCAACTTTGAAATTACTTTGAATTTAAAATCGAAAACGCCCCACGTACGCGAGCCAGTGCAGCAGGCCCTTTGAGGTCATTAATCAAATACAGACCAAGCACGCAATAATACGGACTGTTTAAGGCCTACAGTGAATTTAATAACGAACAAACAAACAAAAAAACATATACAAATAAAAAGCAAACAAGCAAACCTCATGCTCCACTACGGAAGCTAAGTCCAGTCCTTGCTCGGCATCATGCATGAAGCTTTCACCAAGAATCCTTCCCACGACCCTATGTCCCATCGCCATTATACGGTCAGGTCGCAAGGCCTGGATCACAAGCAGCTCATGGATAATTTGGCCAATGTTTGCTTCAAAGAAAAAAGTATATGAATCCTCTCAGCCAATGAAGTCGCTTACGGAGATATGTAATCCAATTCTGACTTAATAATAATCTTTTTTTTGCGGAAACTGTTGTCGATACGGGTCTCCATAGTCTTTGTATTACAATACTTGGTGCGTTAAGAAACGTCCCACGGAAATGAACTGTCTTCTCATAAGTAACTATCATCGAAACTGCAGAACTCGAAAAACCTTGAATTCCAGTTTGTACTTTGGACAAACAGGTTTCACATTTTGACTGCCCTGGGCCATTGCTTGCTTGTCTTATTAGGTATTAGGTAAGTAAGCTTACAAAGTTGCTTGCCCAGCTAAAAGTCTACTTGACCCAGACAACCAGACGAGCCTTTTTTTAAGCCATGAACGGTGAAACACCGCAACCAAGAAATCAATTTTTCGCCAAAAAGTTTAGCAACTGCTACATGAACCATAAGTTTTGAAAGAATTATTCGGATCATCTTTAAAAACGTCTTTCGGTTTTATTACTTTTAAAATTCAACTTACTGAGAGACATTTTGGAGTCCCAGCAGGATGGTACGCTACGCTCTGGTTTGCCAGACTCCAACCACTCAAAGAAGTCCGCGCGGTTCAAATTAATATACGTCTGCAGCTCCTTAAAAGCTGTGAGTTTGGATAAACGAACCACAGCAGCAGCCTGAAAAAATACAACAGACTCATCGATAAAGGATCGACTGGATCTTCGGCGTTCCGAGGCATTCCTAATTGGGACCAACTTACATACAATTCGATAGTGTAACGGTTTTTGTTTCTACAGAAACTGTAATCACAAAAACAAATTATCACACAACATAAGATGCACTCAGATGAAAATTACATGAAATGAAGCACCAAAAGTTAAATGGAAACTTGCGGTTACCTGGATTAACCCACGGCATGGTGCCGTTAAATTTGCTACAAACGAACGTTTAGACAAAGCTTGTGCTTTATGCAATCCATAACAAAGATTTGCACATGTTTCGCAAAGGAAAAACATTTTTCATACCTGCTGAGGTGTAAATCCATCCATTTTTGGTGGCTTTCCCGACAAAACCGTCTCTCCTCCTCGCAAAAACATCTCAAACTCATCTTCATATTCAGTCTCACTGTAAANTATTACAATACTTGGTGCGTTAAGAAACGTCCCACGGAAATGAACTGTCTTCTCATAAGTAACTATCATCGAAACTGCAGAACTCGAAAAACCTTGAATTCCAGTTTGTACTTTGGACAAACAGGTTTCACATTTTGACTGCCCTGGGCCATTGCTTGCTTGTCTTATTAGGTATTAGGTAAGTAAGCTTACAAAGTTGCTTGCCCAGCTAAAAGTCTACTTGACCCAGACAACCAGACGAGCCTTTTTTTAAGCCATGAACGGTGAAACACCGCAACCAAGAAATCAATTTTTCGCCAAAAAGTTTAGCAACTGCTACATGAACCATAAGTTTTGAAAGAATTATTCGGATCATCTTTAAAAACGTCTTTCGGTTTTATTACTTTTAAAATTCAACTTACTGAGAGACATTTTGGAGTCCCAGCAGGATGGTACGCTACGCTCTGGTTTGCCAGACTCCAACCACTCAAAGAAGTCCGCGCGGTTCAAATTAATATACGTCTGCAGCTCCTTAAAAGCTGTGAGTTTGGATAAACGAACCACAGCAGCAGCCTGAAAAAATACAACAGACTCATCGATAAAGGATCGACTGGATCTTCGGCGTTCCGAGGCATTCCTAATTGGGACCAACTTACATACAATTCGATAGTGTAACGGTTTTTGTTTCTACAGAAACTGTAATCACAAAAACAAATTATCACACAACATAAGATGCACTCAGATGAAAATTACATGAAATGAAGCACCAAAAGTTAAATGGAAACTTGCGGTTACCTGGATTAACCCACGGCATGGTGCCGTTAAATTTGCTACAAACGAACGTTTAGACAAAGCTTGTGCTTTATGCAATCCATAACAAAGATTTGCACATGTTTCGCAAAGGAAAAACATTTTTCATACCTGCTGAGGTGTAAATCCATCCATTTTTGGTGGCTTTCCCGACAAAACCGTCTCTCCTCCTCGCAAAAACATCTCAAACTCATCTTCATATTCAGTCTCACTGTAAAAATCAACATTATTGATTCGACCTATTGACACACCTTAATGTTCCTTAGCTTTAGTTAATATTAGTTCCTTATTACATGGCTAGCTGCGCGCGAGAGAAATGTGGAGCGAATTCTGTGTTCTGAATGGCTACCTAAGCGGGTAGAGATGATTCATCTTGCCCACTTTTCGAGAGAAGACTTTGTTTAGGCCATAGAGTGGTTTTGGTTTGAGTGTCGTAAAACCAAAACCAAAGTAATTACTCTGGCCAATCACATAGGACACAGACAATACATTGAACCAATTAAAACTCGAAGTAATTACATGTGGCTGACGCAAAGCGCGGGAAAATGCATGCGAGCGCGTCACAATTGGCTTTGGTCTTACTTCTGATTGGATGAAAAGGTGGCGCGAATCTTTTAAGCCAATCGCATCGTTTGTTTGAGGATGATGGCTAAATATCAGCCTGGTTCTTTACGTAGAACCCTTTTGACGCCCTACTTTGGCCATCCTCGGGCACCCAGGGGCAGTCACACTGTTGTTCGCCGATTGGGCACAATAATACAAAGCATTTTTTTGCGCCCAATCAGGAGCCAGCATTCGCTTGACCGTTTGGAAATGGTGTGGTGAGAGTCGGTACCCAGAGGCTCTTCCGCCTGTGCTTGAAAACTTTCGTCGCGCCTTTTCTCCCGACCCGACTGACTGCCCTTGGTCTCCGAGGATGTACTTTGGCGAGTCTAAAATCATTTTCATTACACACCTAGTAACTCCCTAACCAAACCAGAAGATATCAATATTACATGCAAGCAGAGGTTTGTACACATCGTGTAACAAACCAAAAGAAAGACTTGTCATGTATTTCTATAGCAGCCCGGTTTACTATTCCAGCCATTAAACCATTTCAACTGAAAAAGTGATTGAGGGTGCTTCTTTAATTGTGTTGCAAAAGGTAATGCTATTCCCCCATGATCTGGTAAGAAAATGATACTTTAGTCAGGCGCCGAGCTGATTCTTTGATTTGAAGTATCACACAAGACAGGCGAGAGGTGTCGCCTGAAAGTACGTTTGGCCCTTTCTCCTCGCGGCTTACTCCGTTGGTCGCTAACAGGTAAGACCTCATAGTTGAGACCATTACAGAATTTTGTTTTAATCCTTTAGAAAAAGAAAAATTCTTCCCACTCTTGGTTTCAATCTCATTGACAACTTAGCGAACTCATTGAGAAAAAAAAGAGCTAACCCTGTTAGTCCACGGAGGTAAATTCGACAGAGCAACATGGCAAAGGTGATCCTGTCATCATGCAACATACCACGAGCAACTCTGTTGTATACAATCTAAAGGAAACAACATGAAAAACATACTCAATTTAATTTTAAAGACCCTTCCACGGTTTTTTCAACTTTTGACATGGACAATTAGGGAGAAAACGTCGACATGACTCCAAAGAGCGCCAAACGAATGGTGTCGACGGATTTTCCCTAACTTACTCATGTCAAAAGTTGAAAAAAAAGTGGAAAGGTCTACTGAGTGTTTGCTGACAGAAAATACGGACCGCAGCCTGAGCAAGTAACAGCAAAACTAACTACGAGAAAATGATTGGAGAACTGACAATTTGACTAACAATAGAGGACTCTTTAACTGCGACAATAGACGGATCGAACCGCACCAATTACTGATTACGAGTCTTCATAGCCAATAACATCACGGCTTAACTGACAGACGACCAATAACATCGCGACATAATTAACCAATCAGATCAATAACCAGAGTATAATACCATGAACTGACGTGATACAACTCACTTTGACTCTGAAGATGACTACCACACTGGTTGTCAAAACGTCAGTCACTGTCAACAACAACAGTCCTATTCAGGACTACGTTCACCCCGACGATCAAACTCAACCTACTTTTGAATACTTCTAATATCAACTCAAATATTTCCCGCACCGTTCCCCGTCCTTTCCTATCATACTGACGAGGAGAATTCGAGTTCAAATAAAAAAATTTGGTCTTAAGTGATCACCTCCTTTATTGTCAAGACCTTTTTGTATGATTAAGCGGTAAAATTATAAGAGGAAATTAGACAATGACCTTTGTTGGGGTTTAAAAAGCATAGACGGATTGCTACAGGAAAGCACGTAAATTACACAGCGTAGCAAAAGCCGAAACTAAATGTGAAAGAACGTAACGGTCTCCCGCATCCTACGCCTGAAGGAAGAAAAACCCGTCGTGTTTCCTCCCTCTGGGGGGTGGGAACGGCCACTCGTAGTAGATAAGAAGGGAGGCAATGTTTACCTGGAACAAGTCGCTGCACAAAACCTTCAACCTCTGCTGGGGATCTTTCATGCTGTTCAGCTTTGGATTCTCATACAACACGCACTGGAAAATGTCGAGGAAAAACTGCAGAGAGAACTGGTACAGGAAATGCACCTGGAGGAAGAAAATCGCTTATTAAGTAACCTACTGATACCTTTTGGGAATATCTAGGCTAAAATCACCTGAAATCTAAGGAATGGAGTATCATTTTTCAGATATCTGCGTTAGGCATTATTAAGCTGATTAACCCACAGCTTCTTTTTCGGAGGAGGATCTCATGAAGTTAAAAACATGAGGGGCGGCCGAGTGTTGCAGACTTAATTAAACACAACCAACACAACACAAGTTTATTGAACGGCTTAAACATCGTGACTCTAGATCTGTTCATTTTTTCAAAAATCGTTGACACTTTCTATTAATTTTTTCCCGAGGTAATAGGAGCTAAAAACTCAGCAGCTATGTTTTATCAATTTTAATAACTCTCAATACATTATTTTAAGTTACTTAAGTTTATTCTACACGAATTATCGAGTTTTTAAAACATTTTACAGAATTCGTCAACAGTTAATTTGAGTGGCCTGTGTCTCACAATCGACTTTTTATTCTTAAGGATGAGGTTCCTGTGACTCACCAAGTTCAGTCCCTCCATAGTGAAGTATATACTACTGCAGTAGTGTGATAGTGCGTTATATTGATCAGACACTGCCTCCACTTCAGCCATAACAGCATCTGTCTCTTCCACTTTACGAGTGATCTCAGCTGCTTCTTGCTTCAGTTTTTCCAGAGTAGCAATGATGCGATCATCGTCCAAGATTCTTCCCTTAGCATCATTCAAGGCTTGGAGCAAAGACTTTTCGAGATGGCGGAGACGAAGGTGGAATTCACCTAGGAATGAAAACCACAAAATCGTAAGAGTCAATAGTGCTTGGGTATCGGCACAAAATTGTGGTGTTCACACCTTGTGGAACCCGACATTTCGCACGGCCAGATGCCATTTTGAAACGTGAGCGTAGCAGGAAAAGCTAAACAGTGGATTGTCTCGGAACTAACAGAAAGCGCGTGCCAGAAAGGCCCGCGGCTCACTTTTGTGCCCGAATAAAAGGTTTCGACTTTGTACTTAAGCACCATGCACCATGCCCGAATTCTAGCGTGGGTACCTGAATCAAGGGTGTGTTCAAATTGGTGCCCAGTGAGTACCATACTCGGGCACTGTGCCCGGGCACTAAGAGTGAACGCTGCCTTTCAAAACAAGGTTCAAAAATAGCTTTTAAAGTACCAGTTACCTTGCAGCTTGAGCAGATCGGATCTCTTCTCGTCCACATCAGGTCTCTCAGCCTTCAACACTTGATTTAGGCACTGACTCTGTAAGCTGCTACGAGTCACCGTGAAGTTGACGAATGTCACGCGACTACACAAATCTGGTGCGAACTCGACCTATAAGTAGAAAAGCCAATCATGTTAAGAATCTCAAAAGGTGTCCTGGGAACCAAGAAGTATTCTAACATGATCCAATGAATTCGGGGGTACGTTCTACTTCAACAAAAATAAACGGTTTTACATAAATACTTCAAAATTTGAAATTCTATGTAAAGAAAGGAACTGTTTGTTTTCCCGAAAGGCGAAAGGAGAAAATGCCTTCCCACAAATTCTCTATTTTCGAATTCCCCATAATACACTCTGTTTGCCCCCCAAATTTTGCATAAACCATTGTTTTTAAATGCTCCTGGGAGTATTGCATTTTCCCAAGAGCATTTTAAGACAATAAGTTATGCAAAATTTGGGGGGCAAACAGAGTGTATTATGGGGAATTCGAAAATAGTCAATATCAGTTCTATACGATTCTCTACCCGGAATATCCCGAGTTTTCGGTTGATGGTTTGCCTAAGAAAATTGTCCAATTTCCGAATTTTCTAGGAGTTTTTCCCAGACAACTTCCGTTCCATTCACAATCCTTTCCAATTTTTCGGAGTATTATGTTTGAATGGAAAGAAACCCAAGATTTCACCTACCGTTGGATCTCTGGTGGAAAGAAAGATGGTAAAAGAAGGTGAGAGATCAATGTCTTGATCACCTATGGTGATCAGAACACGGCCGCCAGTACGACGCAACTCACGGTTCAACACGGGATTTAGAATTGGATCATAACTTTCAACATCCTGTTGGAAAAAACAATTAACAGAGTGTGAGACCATTTCAGTTGGGTTGGAGAATGCTTATTGATTGGCTACAAAATCGCGTACCACTTTTTGCCACGCTTAGCGCATTCCAATTTTTTGCTTCGAGTTCTGATTGGTTAAAACGCTTTTTAAAATAACACTGTAACATTTCTCAAAATTGTGCCTCAAAATGCCCCAGATTGAATGTCAGCGCATATTCAGTTCAAAAAATTTACCGGGGGGCATGCTTACAGACCCCCCTAGGAAGCACGTGGCGTTCGGTCCCTTGGGACTTCTCCCCCAAAACGATAAATCCTAGATAGAACCCTGCTTACTCGTGAGTGTAGTGCAGTGATCAATGCTCTTCTTCTCGATCCAACCTGGACCGTATTGAAAACGGTGGCGTATAAGGCTTAGTGGCGGCAACAAGGTAAGAAATCGCCCCTAAACTAGACTATTACAGAACAAATGCCACTGACCTCATATTTTATTTTAACATTTCAGTTAATTTTTTAATGGCTAAAATGTCTCGATCGACTTTAGCAACCAATGAAAAGCAAAACCAATAGGAATTGCTCTGTGGACGCCCGCTTTTTTTCCCGCGCCTTACGCGGGCTAAATGTTTGCCTCAAGTTCTTATTGGTTAAATAGCGTATTTTTCGTTGCTGCGATTGGTCAGCGAAATTCCTTTGCTTTTCGAACAAGAAAGAAAATTTTCACTCAACCAAGCACACAACCAGAATATCGCATTTTGAATGATTTAAAAAGAAACTTTCTGAGCTCACCTGAACAAGGAGTGGGTTACCAAATCGCAGAGCACTCTCGAGATTCTTGCGGAAAGCATCATCAAGGAAACTAACGAAACGATAGCGAAGTTCGGTTACATTAACCACGAAAACTGTAAGCAATACTGTTAATGTTACAATCAACCTACAATCCTGGTCAAAACGTTTGAGACTTTTCATGTATAGGAAATACAATTCAAGCTAATCCCCCTCCCCCCTGGATAGTGTTAAGTATTAGAAGTCAGACACCTTGAAAATAATGAGGTGAAAATAATGCTTGAAAATGCCACGTTAACAGCACAATCTGCGATTGTTTTAACCGTACCTTGTTTTGTTGATCTTCTTGCCTTTGTACTCGTTCAATAAGAACTCAGTGGCTTGTCCTGACGGGTCAATGATCAGAGGGTAGCGGTTAAATCTCTTCAACATGATAGCATTCTCTGTACATAGATCGTCTGCTGGCAGGGAGTTAGCTTGCCACTGTAGACGTTCATCAGCAGTGGATAAATACTGTGAAGATACACACATGGTCAGTCAAATTCCAATATCCTACAAAAATCGTTTTCACTGCTTAGATTATCTATCATAGTTTATAGTCAGTAATAGTGGCATCTTACCAGGTCTGTACTAACTTATATCTCTGTACTTATGAACAATAGCGCGCGAGGTATCACGCAGAATCACTCGATAACAAACCCTCTGCGCATGCTGTCAGCTTCCGCTGAGCAATTATGTGTCTGTAAATCCAATATGGCGGCTCAAGATGGCGCCATTGACATCGAAACTTCAACCTTTTCGTTCTTCAAAACCATTACAGATCAGAACCTCATATTTGGGGATTCTTTTTATTAACGTTTAATCTTTCATATCACGAAAAATGAGGTTAAGTCGTGTTTTTGCGTTTCAGTTTTGCCTTTCGTACCACCTGAGCTATCTTTGGTTGACCTAGTACTATGGAATACAACCAGTTTGAATTAATAATTCACCTGCGCCTCAAGTTAACATATTTTGTGACTATTTTACCGATGTTTATGATCCACTATGAATTGATTACTGGTTCGATTACAAGTAAGCTTTGAAGCTATCTGTGGGACAGGCTACTAATGATGTATTGCTAAAATAAATAAAATCGTTGTTAAGCTCCAAAAGTCTTACTTCCAGTCCTTCCATAGTTTAGTAGCTTTTTAGCATCCTACCTCAACCCTGGCAATATCCGGCCTAAACTGAATGTTTGCTTGTTGTAGATGAGATGCCCAAGAGGTGAACAGATTCTGACGAAGCTGCTGATCAAAGTAGCCTAGGAGAAAAGTTATTTTGGTTAGCGAACCCTACACCGATAAAAAAATTAAATGACTATTTGGCTTTGTTATCCAACGAACACTTTTGTTCTCGAATGTCTTTGAAGGTAGGAGATACGTTGACGTTTATTACCTGCATAAGCGAGGAATGCTGATGACAGAAGCACATCTCCTACGATAGTTCCCATCTGAGTTTGGAAGGCATTGCTTCCTGTTTCCCATCGCTGCCTCTCAACGGACAGACTCCTCAACAACGCCGTGCTGCGACTTACCTAAAATTATGAAGCATTAATAATTATGAGTAGAACGAAAGGTACAGACGCAAATGAGCAAAGAATGCCCACACGGTCACGGTCACGGTAAAGGTAACTCACCCTCTTCATGAATGGAATTAAAATGTTTATCTTGTCTCATTCTTTAATTGTGTGGCGTGAGAAAGCGATCAGCAGTTTGCTAGGTTTAAGAGAGGCATTTAGGAAGTACCGATTAGGTTTGGGTGAGTCGATGAATAGTGAGTAGTATAGTATTTACCAGTTACTCTTGCGCGCTATGCTAATATATAAATGAGAGTCACCTTGGCTTCAACTGCGGCAAGGTCGGCCTTGATAGCCTGGGCCTGACTGATTAATGCAGCATATTCCTCCTTGTAACGGGCAATACTCTTCTCTAGTTCAGCAATAACCTGGCTAATCTCATCAGCCTATGATGTAAGGAAAAATTAATAACCAAATTTTAATAAGGTCAAGGTAGAGTTAAGTCTAACATGGAACATCGACAAATGATCTTCCCGACAATAACTCAACCCTTAAAGTCCCAAGAGTGACCAAAGTCAATTTTCTCTTAACAATATCAATACACAATAGAGAGAAAATGTTGTGAGAATTAATGAAATGATCACCTGATGGGAAAAGCTTTGATCAGCAAACAAATTCTCTCAACCAATTATTTAAGGAAATGAATAGAGATCAGCCAGGAGAATTTGTATTTGGATATTGGGGCTTAAAGGGTTAACAACCACTGTGCCAGGTCCCAGTTGTTTAAAAGGTGGATAACCCGATCCAATGGATAAATCTCTATACAGTCGAAAACACAATCGGTTTCCTTGATACTTTTCCGATGGATAGTGATCTATCCGGTGGATAGCGCTATGGCTTTAAGGCTGGTTTCCCTGCAGCCTCGTTCTTAGTCGTCCTCAGCGATTTCGGATGTAACGTGACGTCATCTATCAAGCTTGTCGGGAGAATTCGCCGAGGACTATTGTGCTCGGTTCCAAACCTTTTCTGGTCACTCAGATAACGCGAACTGGCCTAGGGACTAGACTGCTGGTTTCCATATTACCACCCGACTCGCCTCGATCATCCCAAAAACTCTTGAAAAGATCGAGGCGGACGATTACAAAGTTGACCTTTGTTTACTCACCTTAATTCGGCTGGCCTGGGCCTCAATCTCTAGGCTTTTAAGTTCATTTCTCAGTGGATCTACCTTTGTGAGCATGTCTGCATAGCTTATCTGCAAACAATATATTATATATTTATTCTGAGGATGAGATCATTCCATTCAAATGAGAGCTACTAAGCGGTAGTTCCTTTAGTACTGTACTGTACTTGATGACCACTCAACTAAACGTGCGACCATATAAAAGAAAGCTAGTAGGCAGTACTTTCTTGTGGTACTGTTTATCATGTTGTACAAGGTGGTTCTAATTCTAACTCTGTAGATGAAATCCTAAAGGGAGACCATTCAGATAAAAGCTACTGAGTATTACTATCTTGTGGTATTGCATATAGTGCTTCACAAGGTAACTCAGAGGTTTATGACAGCTTAAGATTCAAGTTGATTTTCTATACCTGTGCTATGGCCCACTTAACAAGAGGTCCACAAGCCACACTGGCACGATTCACTTTCTCAAAGTTGTAATCAGGATTACTAAGATACTTGCTCAGCATGATCTTACGGATGTCCTCCCTACATTAGATAGATATATAATACAATTAAATCTATGATAGTGCGATTTTACAACAGGTGTCCGTATTTTAGAGGTGGGGATTGGGCGGTACGTCTTTTTGCATCGTTAGGACCAAAACCGGACCATAACAGAGCGTTTTACGAACAAGGAGTTGACTGCAAGAGGAGGTTCGACTCTTCAAATAGGATGCTACAGGGTTCTCGCTGCCAAGATTTCAAGTTGCAGGGTATATGACATTACTGGGCGGGAAGTAAACAGCTAGGAATTGCTCTTGGTTTTATTTTCTTTTTGTTTCATATGAAAGTTGCCAGGGGATATACTCATAGTAGCTGGGAAATCCCCGGCCCCCGTGCCTTATTAGGGAGTTTAAGACACCACGACGGCGACAGCAGCTAAAACGTCGCTTAAAAAGTGACTTCGCGTTCTTTGAAACTTCGGTGCGATTATCCCAACTCGCTCACCTTGTCCAATGTAGGCAAACTTTCCTGGAGTTGAATTCTTAAGAAGGAAATTAAGTTTAGGAGAGAAAGAGAAATTTGTCACCGTATGTTCACGTTGTCGATGAAACGTGAAATATGGCAATTCAGGTCGTAGTCGTGCAGTGACGGCAAAGAAATGTACAAAAAGCGCGGTGCACGTGCGGAGTTGTTGTTTTGCTAATCTAAACCTATTGCTTTTTATGACGTTTTCGTTGCCGTCGCCGTCGCCATAGTGACATCTTAACCTCCCTATTGATAGACCGCATCCTACCAGAGGTGAAATAGTAAAAGGTAAGCAAAGTTGTTCTACATACGAAATGTCCTCTGTGGAGAAGTTCACAACTGTGGAGATAAAGTTGTCCTTGATGATAACACCTCTGATGGTTCTCCAATCTGCTGCTTGTTCTCCAAGCAACAAACAAATGGATTCCAAGGCGAGTTTCACAGCAGGGGGTGGATTNAAGTTTAGGAGAGAAAGAGAAATTTGTCACCGTATGTTCACGTTGTCGATGAAACGTGAAATATGGCAATTCAGGTCGTAGTCGTGCAGTGACGGCAAAGAAATGTACAAAAAGCGCGGTGCACGTGCGGAGTTGTTGTTTTGCTAATCTAAACCTATTGCTTTTTATGACGTTTTCGTTGCCGTCGCCGTCGCCATAGTGACATCTTAACCTCCCTATTGATAGACCGCATCCTACCAGAGGTGAAATAGTAAAAGGTAAGCAAAGTTGTTCTACATACGAAATGTCCTCTGTGGAGAAGTTCACAACTGTGGAGATAAAGTTGTCCTTGATGATAACACCTCTGATGGTTCTCCAATCTGCTGCTTGTTCTCCAAGCAACAAACAAATGGATTCCAAGGCGAGTTTCACAGCAGGGGGTGGATTACCCATAGAACGGACTTCAACAAGATGTTGCTTCTTGATAGACTTCACAGCTAAAATAAAATATAATGGGAATTACACTAGGGTGGGAATGTGGACTGAAGAAGTAATCCAGGCTCCACTAGGAGACAAATTAACTCTTAAAGCCCCAATAGTGACCCACACCCAATTTCTCCCACCAATAACACTGCCACATCAAACAGACAGGCCATGAGTATTAAAGAAAGATGAAATGTTGTATGTGAGAACAAATTCTCTCAAGCAGTACCATAAGGAATGCATGAAGAACAGTGTGGAGAAGATGCATGTTGATGTTGCGGTTTAAAGGGTTAAGAAAAATTGTTTTCCTTCTCTCAGCTCTCCTAAAGGAAGTTGGCTGTCCATTCCTCTGGCATCAAATACCAACGAAGCATCAGGGACCCTCAAATTCACATTCCGAAAGGAAGGAAGGAAGGAGTCGTGGTTAAGAGGACAACAGACATGTCCTCTTTACAATATATCTTGAAATGTTAACAGCAGACCTCGGACGTCAGCTTACAAAGGCGCCACTGGCAGCAGCTATTATTTCATTTATGAGCTTACTGTAACCACCCAACCCATGATGTGAATGATGTTGGAAGGTTGGCCACACTACCAGGGTCTACGCCCCCCTACAATCACCTTCCAACGGAGTCAGTGTACAATCTTTCTAAGACTGCTATTAACTTAATTTAGTATCAAAAACAACAATATGCTAAAAGGTGTGGAGAGAAATGAGAATTTTTACTACGATACTGGGGATAGGTGGCTTACCCATCTTGGCATCCTGAACAGCAGGTTCTACTTTGGCGAGTTCAGCCATCACACTTGTCTGCTTTTCCTTGATCTCTTTGGTTTGTTTCTGAAAGCAATTAAAAATATATATCATCAAACGCCGTGAATTTCAAGGAAAGCATTCTATGTCAGCCATTTTGCGGTTGTGTTGAAGTGTTGCGCCTTAACGTGATGAAAAGGTTTGTGTGACTTGATGACCCTGGACGTTTACGGTTCTTTCATTGGCAAACACGAAGCTGCGCGCGCGGGAAACAAAACAGTCCCATAATGCAATTCGACATAAGAGCGAGCAAGTCTCATGCGTAAGCTTTAAACTGCATTTTAGTGAAGTTAACAAGAAATATCCAGTTCCTGTGTTGTCTTTTGCTTGACCATATAAATTAGTGGCACATTTTCCCGCATGGCATTACAAAACTGTGGACGTCTTGAAAAATATTAACAGGAGCAAACGAGACGCAAGAGGGTGGGGGTTGGGGAGGGAAGGGAAACTGGCCCTCTTCGTTACCGCGCTATTATAGAGCTTTAGATTTGGAGACGAGGACGAATACGAGTTCGAGATTTAACTTAAACGTTTTTGCGCGTATTGTCGAAAAATATTCAACACAGAAAGCTTCATTGTTCATTGTTCACCTGAAATATTAGTGCAGTAATTTTTATTTGAGAGGGTTTGGCCATTTCTCGGTTGCATAATAATTAAACTTCTAAAATTTGATAAATTGTTCCCGCCACTATGACATTCTCGCTAAAACTCGTAGTAGAATGACGATGGCTATCACGTTTTCCCGCCAAAATGGCGTTGGTTCACGCAAGAGCACTACTTAGTACTGAGAAAATCTCGTACTCGTAATCGTCCCAAAATCTAAAGATCTCTATTATCGCGTAACTCTCTTCCTCCGCGTGCGACTGGGGACGAGTTGATTATCGTAGCAATGGCTTCTAGTTAAAAGTAGAAAACTTTTGCTAGCAAATTCTAGGGCTGCCAAGTCCCTTTCTTCCATCGCTGGTGTATGAGTTGGGGACCTAGTCAGGTTGTGGGACTGTGAGCCATTCGTGAGGGTCGCGATTCCGCCGTCTAGGGGCTGTGGGGTCTCCGCTGAAGGCTCCGCTGAGGCCTTCATACAACTGCTCAACACCTTAATCGCGTATCTCGCTCCGTACCTCTATTGTTGCCTGAATTTCAATGGATGTGACCTTTTTCTTCTCTGCCTCTTGCTGGTCCTTAACCTGCATGACAATAACAAAATTGGAATTCTAAGAAATCAAAGCTTGACAAGCCGACTTGCCTTAAATGACTGGCAATAGAAGCCTACTCCAAACAGTCTTAGTGAATTTTCTTGTATGAAACAACAACACAGATANCCCGCCACTATGACATTCTCGCTAAAACTCGTAGTAGAATGACGATGGCTATCACGTTTTCCCGCCAAAATGGCGTTGGTTCACGCAAGAGCACTACTTAGTACTGAGAAAATCTCGTACTCGTAATCGTCCCAAAATCTAAAGATCTCTATTATCGCGTAACTCTCTTCCTCCGCGTGCGACTGGGGACGAGTTGATTATCGTAGCAATGGCTTCTAGTTAAAAGTAGAAAACTTTTGCTAGCAAATTCTAGGGCTGCCAAGTCCCTTTCTTCCATCGCTGGTGTATGAGTTGGGGACCTAGTCAGGTTGTGGGACTGTGAGCCATTCGTGAGGGTCGCGATTCCGCCGTCTAGGGGCTGTGGGGTCTCCGCTGAAGGCTCCGCTGAGGCCTTCATACAACTGCTCAACACCTTAATCGCGTATCTCGCTCCGTACCTCTATTGTTGCCTGAATTTCAATGGATGTGACCTTTTTCTTCTCTGCCTCTTGCTGGTCCTTAACCTGCATGACAATAACAAAATTGGAATTCTAAGAAATCAAAGCTTGACAAGCCGACTTGCCTTAAATGACTGGCAATAAAAGCCTACTCCAAACAGTCTTAGTGAATTTTCTTGTATGAAACAACAACACAGATAACTTGAAACTAGAAATATATTTAACGTTTTAAAAGACAATGAATTTTCTTCTCACCATCTGTTTGAGTTTCTGATTGGCTAAGGCATTCTTCGCCTCCAGTTCTTGACTCTTAAGCGACAAACTCTTCTGTAGCTCTTCCACCTACGAATGAAAAAAAGGCAAAAAAGCGTAATAAAGCGTGTTAAAGCGGCATAGCTCTGTGTGTCTACATAAATAACAACTTGAGAGGGCTGTAAGTCACTGAAAGTTTCTCACAAACCCTAATTTTCTCACAACATTTATTCTTCACCTGATCAACAGTCTCGTGGATTTTCTGTAGACCAACATTCAAGTGAAGCTGCTGCTCTTCTAGGTCCGATCTCTTTTCATTGAAAAGTTTGACCTAAAATACAAAAAACAGAATTATCACTGATTGAAAGATAATTCATAAAATCATTTTATAGTCTGAAATTTCCACCAAGTCATGGCGATGATCTACGAAGCCGTCAAACGTGGCCAACATGTTGGGACATGGTCCTTCGCGTTGGATGAAGTTTAGTCTTAACGCATTCAATCAAACTGGGCTTTCGTTCTTTGGGTGGATTCATTTACAGCATATCTGTTTAGCCGTCACACTACATCTTTTCCTGGTCACTAACGGGAAATATACTTACGCGTAGTGATCAGTTTTATTACCGTGATATTTATCTCCACGTAAAAATGCTTACCAGATTTGCTAAGACTAAAATGAATGCGGATTTGTAAAAATGAATGTATTTCCACCGTACTAGAACTGATAACTACATTATGGAAAGTATGTATTTTTCTGGTAATGACTAACAAATACTGTAGTGTAAAATTCACCAAGCATACTTACATAGTGGTTAATAAAGTCCAGGTAGTGTCGGGGTGTGATAGCCATCACTCGACCTCCTCGTTTGGCTAAGCGCTCATTGGCCTGGTGTAGAGTTTGATGAACGTACACAAATGCGTTGATGACAGCTTCTCTGTGAGTGGGTGACATTGGAAGGTCTTCATATACTTTGGGTAGGTAGTCCGGAGGAGTGTACTGTGTAAAAAAGCAGAAACAGAATACCATACATTTGTCATCAAACCAGACAGTACACAACCCTACACGTATCCAAAAAGGCCCTTTCATCAATGTTATTCGACGATGACCACTTGAATAAGGAGATCACGTGACTACGACGGGGACGGCTAAGAAAAACTTTGATTTTAATGCGGCAGGTCGTGGGTTCGATCCCCGGGACTGGGCCAATACTCTGAGGGCTCTACAATAACTGAGTAATAAAGGTATTCCCTTCGCGAGGCTCTGATGACCACAAAAAATGGAGGTCGCGTCTCTAGTAGAAGATGTAAAATTGTGTCCTCATTTAGTACCTTCGTTTTCAGATAAAGCGCTTCTTTTCAATAGCAAACAACAACAACAATAACAACTCTGCACATGCATCAAACTTTTGGCTTCATTTCTGTACCGTCAATGCACCATTGCAACGTGAAATTTTCCATTGTCCCATTCGCCCCTGAACCGCCCGAAACCGCCCGTGCGGATCCACGTCTCTTCTACCGCTTGTGACGTCATCAGTTTTAACGATCTAGGACTCCAGGATCTTGACTACCGTTTTTAATGACGGTTTCATTAAATATTTTTTGCTCTATCTTTGTTCTTCGGAATGTCTTGTACTTACGTTGGATTTTTCCAAGTCAATCTTGCTGGTAAACTCCTTGCCAACTTGATACAGCGCACCAGTGGACCAATCGCCAAACCAATTGAGAACACATCTGAAATGACAAGAATTTTCAATGGCGGTCTGAAGATAAATCAGCGAAAATGGCCTCTCACCATGAATGAAAAAGAATGGTGATGGATGTATGCACGACATGGGCGTATAGATATTAAGTTAGCTTAATCAACTCAAAGTTATAGTGTTCGTCAGGTTAGCGCGTACCTGTTGAACAGAGCAGGAGACGTCGCTGCACGGCTCTTTAGTCCCTCCGATGATGGATTCATGGTGAAAACAACATGCAGGTTGTTCATGACCTGAGAAAATGACAAAGAACGTGCTGCTATGATATCCAACCTTTAAAAATACGCTGTGCATTGGGGAAGTTTAACCATCTTCTTCAACTGGCGGGACGCAAATCAGTAGGTTATTTACAAGTATGGCCGAGGCGTCAAATACGAGGATACTGAAAGAAAAATCCAACCAGGGACCAGGGACCAGGGATCAGGGCAGGACTCGGACCAGGTTAGGGTGGGACTCGCACCTGAGGCGCAAGGAGTCGGGCAGGGACTAGGACCATGGTGTCAGTTGTTCAGGGCGGGAATTGGACCAGGGGCTCTGGGAGTCGGGGCGGGACTCGCACCCAACCCTACGGGTTGCGAGTCCAACCCAGGGTCTTCTCGACAGCCGGCGTGAAAGCCCACTATTTGGGGGATATCGTGATAAGTCGCGCGAAAGGAGACGCGAACGCGAGGCGGGGAAAGAAAAGAGCTGCCCCTCCCTCGTGCGTTCTCGCGTGACAAGGGAACGAAATAGAGAGCTTGCGCGCAAGCTACCTCCTGTATCAACTAACCTGCTGTGTAAACCATTTGTACAGCTCCTCACTGCTATCCAACATCAGGCCCTCTCTTTGTGATCCTTCTTTGCACTGTGTCATCAGTGTGGTGTACTCGTCGCCTTCAAACAATCCAGGAACCTAAATTACAGACAACAATATAAGAATATTGGAAAATCAATGCTTATTGAATTATTATTCATATGCTTAAGGATGCTTATTAAGCCTTAAAAGATGGTTCTACCTTATTAATTTATAGATGAAAACGTGCCCATTGTAAATATTTTTTAACAGAGAACCCATTCCAAGGGGCATTGTGTACAGTCGTCTTTACATTGAAACCTCCCCCACCATATATTTCAATCCATATTTTTTTTTTACCTCTCCATTTGCCAAAAGAGTGTTCATTCTTTCCAGGAAGCTTGACTCTAAAATGTTGGACTCATCCAAAATAAAGACAATCTTCTCGTTCTTACAACCTGCTCGTCTGAGCACCGCTCGCAAATCTTCATCAAAATCTGCAGCCAAGTATTTGCGGTGAATCTAGTAATGTGAAATACAAAGATGTCAGGCCTCGACAACATACTTACCATTTAACTATCTGAGCAAACAATAAGTTTTAACAAAGGCAAACTGCACGCCAAAAAGGTCCATAATTATTATCATAGCTTATTCTGACTTAGTAGCACGCGACATCTAAAAGCTTTACTACAACCAACCCCGCACCCCCCACCCGGATGATAAGACCCCCGAAAGAGTTACCTAGAGCAGTATGACACTGGTATACAATTAAAAACCTATATGAAGAGACAGTTCCTTATACAAGGAAACAACTCTTCAGCACAGCCAAGACCGGAATCCACCCCGCTAGACCCAGTTTCTGACTCGTTAAGCACGAGACCACCACACCTACACATTTTTTTGTAAACAAATTACCTTTTAAAACATTATACAAACCTTGACTTGGAAAAGGCTTAAACCATTCATCCACGCCACAAATCTGGACAGTGTGGTTTTTCCAGCTCCACTCACACCAATCAACAGCAAGTGGCCCTGAGGATTAAAAAGTTGCACATGACGTCACAAAACACTGATAAAAGTTGCATATATGGTAAGTGGTATTCAACAACAGCAAAAATACTACCTCAAAGTTTTCAGAACTCTTCGTCTCAAAATTCCAATTTTTAACTAACCTGTGGCTGTCTGAAGATTCTGTCGATCCTCAGAACATGGTCAAGCACTTCATTGAACAACACCAACGGAACATCCAACTCCTCTTCATAAAACACCTTTGAAAAGCAAAAGGGCAAGTATTGAAATTCAACAAATGTACGTCTCATCTCATCATCAGGGGTATTTGTAGTTAAGCGTTGGGAGGATAGTCTTTGCTAATTGCGGATGGAACTGTGATGTCTAAAAAATTCCCTTCATTGGATAAACACGAACACAAACATCCAAAGAATCACCTTCAATTTTGGCAAGTCAATTTTAACAATGCACTCAACGTCCTGGTGCACATTACAACGTCAGGTTTCTTGTGTAAGCTTGAGGACTCTACAAGCGTCACGTTCCGATTTTCCATATGGGTAAGCATTGCTTTTCTTAAGTATGAAACTCCGCTTGAAGCTGCACCTACAAATTATAATTATCATCCATATCATATCATCCGTATATCATAGTCCATACCTTCAGTCTAGCTTTCACGAAATCTCTCAGCTCCTCCTGATCAACTGGAATATAATCCTTTGACAGCCAGTTGCTGTATAGGATTGGTCGCTTTAGAGCTGCATTGCTGTCAACATTGGGAAAATGTTTCAACGCGACCATGCTGATGTTTTCATCTGTCCATTTGCGCTCGTCGTCTTCTACCAACCTGGTAAAAGACAATGAACAAAAAACAAAGTCATCAAAAATTCACTAAGACTTTACTTTATCCCCCACCCCCTGGTTTGTTATGCCATTTTACAGGACTTCTCGTATCTGTTGGGCGCGAAATTCACCGAAAAAAATTTCGCTGATGTCATGACAATTGAAAAATGGTAGATTGAGGGTTTCACAATGACGTAATCTGGAAGCTCTAAGAAGACGCCCCAATTTGTTTTTTTCCCGCGTGAATTTATAGTATGATTTAAATCCCTTCAGGCGAAAACAAGTCGACCTCGCGACTTCATCGCTCGTTTTGTTGTGACTTCCTTGAAGCTCGCTCGCTTTTCCTCATTGAGGTCGTTTCAAGAAATTATAAGAGGTCCACTTGTAGAAGTCTAGAATTCACTGAACTTGAAAAAGAATCACGTCAATAGAATTTAGTAACGTCCACGAAAAATACGAACTACAATAGGCGACAAAATTTTTGACACATTGTACTTAAATAGGTTAACTTCAGAGAACAAACGAATCCACACCCCTCCTCTCTCCCCTCCATTCAAAGTTGGGGTGTTTGATGTTTTCTACAGGTAGCTTGAACAGCGGCACAACATTTCATGGAGGGGATGAGGGAAGAAAAGCTTTATTTTCCCCTTTTAAAGTTGATAAAACATCAAAAAGCCCTTTTCGGGCAAAGTGCCTCAACTAATTTTGTCGCCGATTGTAGCTACAGCTAAATGAGACGTTAAGAACTTGCTCTTAGCCTTAAGAAATAGTATATCCAATGTAAGCTAAAATCTATGACCTATCCTGTATAGTGTGACTTAAATCTCACCGATCCTGGAAAAGTCGCAGTGCTTCGTGTGCCCACAAACGAACGAGGCCCTCGATTGAAAGAGTCTCCAACGGTTTCAGTGCTTCGCAGATGCCTCGAACCCATCGAGTCATCTCACGAGGACTGTAGATGTAATGGGGCTGCATGTCTTGAGTGAAACGTTCCTAAAAAAATTGACGACGCGTTTTAATCCTGTGATCTAATACATCAAACTGGAGTCACAGTGTTACGTCCAATATCCAAACACCGAGGAGTTTAAGGTATTTGAACCTCGGATAGAAGACTGTGTCATGTTTGATGTAGTTTCTAAAATGATAAATAATTTAAATCTTCATTTCGCTAATTGTTACGGTAGTTCGTATCTTCGTTGCTCTAATGATTTCCTTTATTGTCTTCCAAGTCACCGATTCAGTTTGGCTTATTATTACAAGATACAGATTTAACTGATATTAATGTAGTCATTACCCTAGTTGCAAGCAAGAATCCACTTAAAAAAGCTTTCGTTGTTTCATAAGAAAACAATTCACCTTCCACAGGACTGGCTTGGTACACCAACATGGAAGCCGTTTCATTGCTTTCTGTACATTAATATGACCGATGTGACCTTGTAAAGAAATCGCTCTATAGACTCGTTTTTACCTGGGACATAGAGTAGAACTCCACCATTGCATCAGTAAGAGGTTGCGCATAGCTTCTAAGCGGTGGAACAATTCTTAGCATGGCACGATTGAATGTGCCATAGATCTGAGTGAGCGAGGTGGGACCAGGGTAGTCAACATAAATGACTGGTACATGACGTAGGAATCTGACAATAAAAAGACAGTTTACTGTTAAGGAAATACAACTGTTGCATTTGAAATGGCAAACATTCAACAGTAAGTTAAGGAAATTCAAGTAAGAAATGAAAAGGACCAAAAATTGCTGATTGACGATTGTTGAAATATGAGTTTACCACTCGACATTGAACCAACAACACCACAGCAAAATTTGCTGCAAAATGGAAGCATACTAGGGATTTTTTGGATTTTTTAGTCTCAAGGGTTTATAAGGATAACTCTTAATGAAAGCTGTTGCTCTGTTTAAGCTTTTAAGTGAAGATTTAATTTTATCAAAGAAAGATTTAACCCCACTCTGGGGTCTTCAATTCGCGCTCCATATAAACCCTCAAAAGTTACACCATTTGGCCGTCATCAAAATAGCCAGTTTAAACCTTACTGGGGTGCTGTATTTTACTTGCCAAAACGGCCCCAAATTCGAATAGGTACTTTCAATCTTCCCGTTTCGGTCATTTTACTTTGAACACCTACAAGACCTACTCAGAAACGGACCAAGAGGAAAAATTCTCACCGAGGCAATTTCAAAAAAAAATTTAAAATCTGAATATATTTCCGTTATATCTTTTTCGAAAGGCTCACACAAGGATCCTCAAACTATGTCCGACCACCCATGTGGGTGGAAACTTGACAAAAGCCAACCTGTGTGAGAGAGGTTTCCTTCCAGGGTCAGTGGGTGGATTGCAGGCTCCAACAAACTGTATCCTCTCCATGGTGACCCAGGCTTGATCTGTGGTGCGGTAAAACCCGCCATGCTCAACAATTTGCCTCAAGAAGGAGATCACACGCTGTGTACCTACAGAAAGAACGCAACGTCACTCATTATAATATCGTTACATAAAATAGCACCGTTATGTATCCTGTATTGGTATGCTTGCTATTGTATGCAATAGCATAAACTCCCTACAAAATGAACTTCTATTTGATTTTCCTGTTTGCCCCGAATTATGTAGGGTTCGCGGTCTCCACGTTGAGACCGCGAAGGTCGAGCGTGAGCGATCGGTGAAGAATTGGGGTAAGTACACATTCACATCTTGCGCTTTTACTCGGAGGTGTGATCCTGGACCTTTTTATCCAATAATGCGTACACCCGTCGACTGATCACGACTCAGAATCAAAGGTAATTCATTGTTCTGTTCGTTTGAGCTCCCTCACAAGCAACTTACCCTGGGTACCCTGTTACGTACTGCATTGGCTTGGAAAGGTTTTAATTGACCATTCTTTTTTGTTTTGGTGAATTTAGCCAGCGAGCAAGCTGCGAGGGGTGCCTCTCGCGCGTGACTTCCCGCGATATCCACCACGTAGACAGTGTGCTCATAGACTATGACGTATTTACCATAATGGTTCATGTCTGGAAGATTGATCTTTTTTGTCTTGGTGAATTTAGCCTGCAAGCAAGCTCTTCATTTCGAGTGAAAAACAAAGGGAGCCGTGAGAGAACGCGCGATCAGCTGAAACGCGAGTGGTGCCTCTCGCGCGTGACTTCGCGTGATATCCACCACGTCGAGAGTGTGCTCACAGACTATGACGTAATATATCAAGCATGAGACGCAGTGTTTTATCACCAGATAAAACACTCAGAACAGAGTTGAAAATACGACCAGTAGCAGAGTATTTTTGACGAACTTCGAGGTGGTTCATCTGGTGATGAAACATTGTGTCGAATGCTTGATATTACTTCTCAAACAAAATGATTTTAGACAGAGAAATTAAGGATGCAAAAATGAGCAGTTTTTCATCTGATTTTTAAACACTCATAAAACATTAACTACCTTTGTATTTTCTTTTTAAATTATTTATGAGTTTGAGAAGTATTTACCATAATGATCCATGTCTGGAAGATTGATCTCATCACAGAACAACACCATCCATTTGCCAAGCTGCACTGGGGCCAAAACGATTCCATTTGGAGTTCGTCTGTACTCGCAGTAATGGTCAAACGTTTTCAACAGCAGCTCAGGAGAGGTTGCACTAGAGAAGTTCAAACCGACAACCTGTAAAGAGAAGGGTTTCAAGAAGGTCAAAACCTACGTGAAACCTGCCATGAGAGGATGGCACAATGTCACGTGAGGGTATACTAACCATGACATTAGACAATCACTGTAATAACAGTTTACCAAGGTAAACATCTCCTAATCTCCTTACCAAGCGTACCACTTCTCCTGAGAGAAAATCCTAAACCTTATCGAATAACTTACAAAATTTAATTAAACATTTGTCTGAAAAGAAGTGCTCTTACAACCGTCCAAACGTGCCCCTTGTAAGTTTACTCCCTGTGCCTTGCAAGCTGACCTTTTTGTTAAGTGGCAATGTTCTTCGGGTCATATACCGAATTGTCTTAGCAGGAAGTCTTTGAAGCAAGCCAAATAAAGCTAAACTGATCTCTTCCACCTTTGAAATAGGCTATTTTCGAGTTTCCCCGGGCCTCTGTATCAAAACGAGGTTAAGTGCTCAGCCTTTGATATGGAAATGTTTTTCTATTCTCATGCAAATAAAACTCATTTTCACAACAACGGTTGTGCACTTGGCCTCGTTTTGAAAGTGAGGGTTTTTGGAACCCGGGAGTGCCCTATTACATACCTCCATATCAGGCAAAGCTCTCAATGCGCTAAAGAGTGTCATGGTCTTGCCGCTGCCTGGTGGGCCGCAAAGAACCATGGGCTTATGTTCAGCCAGCCACGTGTACAAGAGTGCTTCATTTGTTGGAACGACAACATCAGGTGCTGCGACTTTGTGAGTCTCCACTTCAATTTGAGGCACCTTGGATTGCCATAGCACCCATTCACCTTGAATAGTGACCTGGAAACAAAAGATAAATCTGTTAACATCCATAACCTTGCGTGCATCGCTCAAAAACGCCGTTAAGCTCCGTAATATGTCACAACGAAGGAAGTTGACGCTTAGCGTTCTATTTTCAACGAAATCGAAGGTGTTTGCTGTTGTTATGAGCGCTCAATAAGAGTGCTTGATCTAACTCCTTTCAGGTTTGTGTTGAATTAGTGACTTTAAGATGTCGTCTTCGGGTGAACAGAAATACAAACTAAAGCATCCCCAACCTCGGCCTTCCAGAAAGATTGGAATTCTGGTTTTTGCCTTTTCCAAACATCGGAATTCTGAAGTTTCGCCTTTCCAAACATTGGAATTCTGGTTTTTGGCTTTTCCAAACATTAGGAGTGTGAATTTTGGCTTTTTCAAACATTGCAATCCTGAATTTTTGCTTTTTCAAAGATTGGAATTCTTAATTTTTGCTTTTCCAAAGATTGGAATTCTTAATTTTTGCTTTTCCAAAGATTGGAATTCTTAATTTTTGCTTTTCCAAAGATCAGAATTGTGGTTTTTCGCTTTTCCAAACATTGATATTCTAAATTTTGGCTTTTCCAAACATTGGAATTCTGAATTTTAGCTTTTCCAACGATTGGAATTCTGGTTTTTGGCTTTTCGAAACATTGGCATTCTGAATTCTATCGCTCGGTCAATACATCAAACCTCGGTCTTAGATTTCCCTGTAATGACTTAACTCTTAATAAGTAGTATTTGAGGCAGGGCTAGGGGGAAAGGAGTATATGTCATTCTTAAAAACCAGCTGTTTATTAACTGTCTGACCACAATCTTCATACCTCAAAGTCCACGATGGATGATGATGTGCTTGAGGGCAAAGGGATTGTGGTGATACTCCTAATGAATTTGCCCAAATCTTCTCTAGTCTTAAGTTTACAGTCTCCGGAGAAAGCCCACAAGAGGCAGAAAATCAGGTATCTTGGAACGTAGCGCTCTATTTGATCCCTCTGTCGACAGAAAATTTAGCGTAAAAAACGTAGATTAATTATAAGCACTGGGAAAAAGTTTCTTTGTGGGGTTCTGGGAAATACAGCACACTAACATATACCCCCTACAAGACAAACTTGTTTTGTGTTGGTAAGTTAAGGTATTTTTTAAATAACTGGTGTGGATGTTAAAAGAACGAATATTTATATAACGGATGTGAGAATAACTATCAAAGCATGGCTGAAAGAAAAATCCTAGTAATGCTGACAGTTTCGATGACCGACAGCCATCTTTATCAAAACTAGAAAACTTCACAGGTGTCAGTAACCCTAAATAGGCTATTGAAGGTGTTAATTGCGACAAACGCGGAAAGTTACTCTGTCGAGGCCACCCCTCCCCCCTGGTTGGGGGGAAATCACTTGAACTTACTAGCCTAATGAATTTCCTCAAGAGAAAAGAAGAGATGTGAGAATCTTATTTCAGTGTGTCATATTCCAGGAGATACTTTAAACCTTTATAACTACGTTTGAGTATGAATAATATTCAAATACGCTACACAAGGGATGATGCCGCAGGTAAGTACAATTAACCCCCCGCCCTTGGAAAGTTACAACCAAATAGCACGTCATTTAAATTGACTCTGGGAGAGGAAAGAATAGTGGGCACCTTATACCTGCAAAGAAGTTACTGTGCTTTTCACAAACATACGAACTCTAAAGTTCAAAAGACACCTTCACAATTGCGTTTTTCGCTGCCGTCAATCATAATTACGATCACAAGCAACGAACCTTGAAACAGAGAAACACACAAAACGGATCGAAATCCACCAATCACAAATCACAAACCATGACCTTTTGAACCCGTGAAGTAAAGTTTTGTTTCCTTAGAGGTCCGTTAAGATGATTGACAGCAGCGAAAAACGCAATCGTCGGTTGGCTTTTGAACTTCAGAATTCGCATGTTTGTGAAAAGTGCAGTAAGTTCATTGACAGTTTATTTATTTTGAGATGATGAATATACGAAATAAAGAAATAAATGCAAAAAATATCAAGGCAGTCAAAGACGCAACTTGTACAGTTGGAAAAGGAAAGCATGAAAAATCTCTGGCATGTCGCTATTACCACTAAAAGTACAAATGACAAGTTTGCTTACCTCCATTGGGAAGTCTGGGTGTTGCTGGTTATACTGGAGAACATTTCTGACACCTTGGTGAATCATGGAGAATAATGACTCCAATGCTCTCATACGTGTGAAATCCATGATGTGCTCTTGCTTAAAAGCAAACTCCAAACACTTGACAACCAAACCGTTGGGTGAGAAGTGTTCTTGAACGATGTCAACAAAGTCACTCTGGACCTAAAAAGTCATCGCTATTGGGATCAGTTTTTCAAAACGTATTAGGGACTTTAAGATCCAACGACGCGGACGACAACGAGAACGTCAACAAAAAAAAATGGGTTTAATTAGCAAAACAACAACT